GAAAGTTGGCCCTTGCGTCTCTTCCGTTCATTAAGGAAGGGAATGGGTCCAGCTCCCGCTGCGGACTGCTGCCTGTTGCCGACTCATAGTCTAACATCGGCAGGTTATTTCTATCCATGCGATTTACAACACCGCCTGGTATATCTTGAGCGACTGCATCGGACTCTCCAGTGGTACCTTCATTCTTCTGTGTTGGTCCACCAACGGTTGTCTTGTCGTCGCCGCTATATGGCCCAGGCTGTAGGACAGATTCGTAGTCGGAAGGAGGGACAGCTGAAACCGGTGGAGGACTGATTATTCCCTTCGAGTGTCGAATTGTTCGTATACTTGCTTCATCGAGTAGTGAGTCAACACGTGATTCATCTTTCTGGCCCCGGCCTCTACCACTAACAACCCCCTGGGATTCGCTGTTTCGACGTGGAGAGCGTGTTCTCCCAAGCTCTTCACTGCTAGGTGATCTCCAAATCTGCGGTACAGATGCTTCGGGAATCGCCCTACTAGGCTTCGTAGTAAAATCCCGCTGCGACTCATTGGATTGACCAATATCTGTAACAACCTGAGTTTTGCTTTGTCCACTTGGCAGTGAGACATTGGCCGCAGCTCGCTGTTCACCTTGAACGCCCCCTCGCCACAAAGTCGGAAACTTATTTTCAATATTATCCTTCTTTTCCTTTTGCATAACTTTGGCATCGTGAATTGCACCTAATCTGTTCCAGAACGAGAGCATGACACTTTTCTTCGTTGGTTGCCGTACTTCACTAACAACAACCCCCCGTCGTGCAGCTCGTGAACTAGGCGGAGGATGATCTCCAGGCGCTATATCATCAATCCCCAAAGGAATCCGTTTCAGTCGCTCTTTTTGTAATCTACGCTTTTCTTTGATGAATTTGGAATCCCATTCTTCTTTGGCGGCAAGCCAGCGGCGAACCGGTATGGGTTTTGGTACCCCGATGTGGTTTCGCGGGACTTGGAGAGCGGGAAGGTCATGTTCGTCAGGAAGTGGGAGCAAATGGCCCTCCGAATCAATCAATTGGCGGATCATATGGTTTTGAAAGAGCGGTATTGGGTCACCAGCTCTCCCAATTGTTGCATGTTTAGCTAGCTCTGGTTCAGCAGTTCGTTTAGTTGAAGTTTTCTTTTCCTCGGCGTTTGATAATAAGTCACCAGATGAGGCAGGGGATGAGTCTGGTATATCAATACTCGACTCCTGTGCTCTTGACAGCGCCCAGGCGGAAAACTGGGCAACTGATCTATACATATATTTTGCTGGCCGGGTGAAACTCAGGGTCGGTGCAACGTGGCAAATGTTATTCCAGACCTGAAGTTGTACATAAGTAGGTTTGTGCTGGGACAGTATTTTGCGGTCTGGGTCATACTTGGCGAGGATGTCGTCATTGGGGGGGTATGCTTCTGGATTCGCTGCCTTATGTGCAAGATATATCTGTTCGTCTCGAAGGAGTTCTCCTCCACCAGATATAACAAGTAGCGGCGGCAGGCCTCCCAGTGACGGTTGGAGAACAGGAGATACCAGGGGGTGTGATATCAGCTTGTTAGTCGTATATAGGTGAATTTGATCTTTAATTTCGATAGTTGAACCGTCAATTTCAACTCGGAGAAGCTCACCGAGCATCTGGGTGTTTCGACGATGGCCGTTTGACTCTTGAAGTTCAGAAGTTGTATAATCCTCAACATGAGACGACTGAGCTGTAGCACAGGCTTGACTGGTATAAAATTCCTCAATAGCATTGGCGTCGGTAATTGATGGCTTGTCCATCATCGGTGGTGAATTGATCTTATTAAGAATCTTCTCGCCTGTCGTTGACTCTATTCCATATTCATCTGCGCTTGGGGGAGGCCATGCAGTCGACGGTCGGTGCCTAAACCCGCAAATGGGAATATAATCATGCACTCCGGTACCAGCAACGCTTGGGAAAGAGTGGGTTAAGTCAACCCAAGGAGATATCAGAACAGCTCCAGCAGGTAATGGAAATTTTTGATCACGGAGTGTGACTAACATCCTACATCTAACTTAGCTTCACAAAGCTTACATGCACAAGTCATATACTTACGACATCACCATCCCACCTCCTGAGGAGTCGCCAGCTATTATAATCTCCTCTGGTTTTTGGATGGTTATTAGATACAAATAAGCGGCAAGGCAGTCATGCAGCCCACATGGAAATGGAAATTGTGGAGCTAATCGAAATCGAGCTATGGTTTCCATAGTTAACGGTATAGTTCGTAGAATGCTTAATACCTTATGGAAGAATAGTAGGGAACTTACTAGCAAGGCGGTTAGCGCTCATATCAACTTGGATGGAAAAAAATGTAAGTCTTACCGAGCAAAAACACGAGCCTTTAATTTGCGAGCGTGTCGCTGTAACTGGTATCTATGGGTTTCCACGCTACCAAAGAAATATGCGCCGCCATGGATATACAGAATAATACGGTTCGATTTGGCGTTCCGCGCCCGTCGGTCGTTATAATCCCTTCTCGTCTCAAGCCATTCTGCAACAAGGGCAACCTCAGTGTCTCTCCACTGCCACCACTTGCTCCCACCAACTAGGGATACGCCTTCTGGCCCTAGCTGTGCAACAAGAATGTGGGCTGCAGACTCTATGTGCTCTGCAGGAATAATGACACTTCCAGTTGCCACCCAATACGATGCTGGCACTTTCTGGCCGGTAAAGGCTTGTAGTTCTTCAACCGTATGGCGCGCTGCATGCTCGAGGAACCGCCGAACAACCTCAAGTCCGCTATGGTACGAGAAATGCGCAGCAGGCTCTGTTTTGACAGGCTTCTTGCCGAGATACTACTCAAAAGAGTATTGTGTTAGCATTGCGTGGCCGAAGATTCAGAGCTTCAAGGGACTTACATGCGTTACGCCGGTAGAAACGGCAGTAAAGGAGGCATGGAAAGCCACCGAAAGGATGTTGAATGGCATTTCTAGGAACAATCCAATCACCAACAGTGAATATCAAGCCATTGGATAGCAGTCACAGCTATAGACACCGAGTATAGAGGGGAGTAACGGGCCATGCTCTAGTAGGATGCAGCACATCAGCAGACTCTGTGTGGCATCGGGGCTTTTCAAGTTTGCCTTGTTGTTTACTCGAGCAAGGGGATGGAAAAAGGGAGCTTGAAGTGGAAAAAAGGAACAAGCAAGATGAGGTCATAGCTTACTTGAGGTTAAAATTCTTACTAACAAAGTTATCACGTGAGATATTTGTTTCCATATGCATATGACGTCATACCTGAAAGCACAACCACGCTGCCATGTTTTTGTCGTCTGGGCCGTACAGAAGTACAAGGTAAGTGAGTCAGATTCATAACAGAAGAGACTTATATGGTTAATATCGTATACTGAATGGTTAAAGTTTAGGTATAGTAGTTTGTTCACGGCAAGGAAACGCGCTACTACTACTCCGTACTGCCGGTTGGAAAAGTCAGAACACATTTCAGGATTTGCTGGATGGAGGACAGGTTCGCGAAAAATATCAAAACGAACGCAAGTTGCTAGCTACCCCCCTTGTAACTGGTAACTCTAAAGGCGGTACCAATTAAAATACAGATAGGAATATTTATTTATCCGATCTAATATATTTCTAATTAGTGGACAATCGCTTCATGTATGCACAGTTGGTAGGCGGCAACTTGTCCCGTTCTTCTAAAGCAAAGGGGTTGGACGGCGGCTGGCGGCTACGCTTCTGGCGGCACGATGGAGAGTTTCGTCGGATATATGTATGAACATAATGCCGGAAGAAGATTAGTAATCAGAATAAAGTTTTAACTTTTGTGCTTGATAGAAAAGTTCGACGTGGGATGTTAGTATGAGAAGTAACTGACTATCAAAGCGCTGCCCTCTATCTCAGCTTTTCATTTACCACTTACTGAACCGATAAAATAACTGCGGCTGCCTTATTCATTATGGAGGCTGCGGTACCTCAACAATCTCCTGCTCAGACTCAAGGGGCAACTTCCTTTTCTCCTTCCGCACACCTTGACCTCGCTATAACCCTTACCTTATACTCCTGGCCATCTCTCACACTGGCCGTCGAATCCTCCTGGGGAGGTCCTACTTCGAAGAGCAAACGTGATTGGTTCTGTGGTGCCATCGCAGAGCTTTTCAGCACTCACCCCGAAACCGATGCACAAGACCTTGAGGATGTTTTAATACAGGTCATGACAGACGAGTTTGACGTGGTTGTTGATGACGGAAGCATTAGCCAGATCGCCGATCAAATCTGTGAATTGAAAGCAGAGATTGAAAAAGGGAAATTTGAACGTGTGGAGGCAATGTGGGAGCAGTTCAGAGCAGAAGAGCAAAACGGTGGCAGCAAGCTACCTGCCAATATTATCAATAGAGTTGGAGTGGATGGCGTGGGTGACAGCAGCGATGATGACGGTGATGATGATGAGGAGGAGGAGGAAGAAGAAGATGATGTCGATATGGAAGATGCTCCCGCTCCTCGATCGGCACCAAAGCAACGTCAGGAGCCAGAAGTTGATGAAGATGGATTTACCAAAGTTGTTGGCAGGAAAAAGAGATGACCAACCACCAACTAAATCACGATATAATCGCAAATATGGCCACGGAGAAATTTTTAGCGGAATTATCTCTTTGAAGCTTACAAAACCAATTTTCTAGCTTACTGACAACAGAAAGGTATGCGTCTTACTATCAACTGGAACTTACTATGAGGCCTCTTACTTCCTTGATTGGTCCATCCTAGTGACGATACCTCAATTATATTTACAAGCGGAAATCCTGCGCTGAATGGTTTACTACGATAATCCAGGTATCTGAACAATTATGCCACAGATACTCTTTAACAGTTAACGACTTTGGTGAAACTCGCTAGTGGAGTTTACTGCGGGATAGCAGGAAAGGATTTTCCTCTTACACGCCTCATGGATGATGATAGACGTCGTATAAAATAGAAATACTGAGTTGGTATAGATTTATGCACATCATGATTAATGCTCCGAGCAGTTAATGAGAGATGTAGTCCCAAGTCACAGCTAGATTATTTGGCTTCCTTGTAATAGCTAAGTGATACAATTAGTGAACTGAGTCTGTGCATGCAAGTGGAGTCAAATGAGAGGGTAGTAGTGTTATAACAATGATACAATATAAATAAATTGCAGAATATAGAAACCATAGAGGGACATGCGTATAGGTGCGCTTGTATTCTGTAAAAGTTCCGAGTTTGCGCATATAGGTAGCTCAGGGGGCTAAGGAAGCCTCATTGCTTCCGGATTCAAATTCAGTCCGAGTTTTAACTTAAAAGGGAACACTTTGATAGCCATAATAATGATGGTAAGAGCAATAATGACAAATCCCAGGGCAAAGCAAATTATCTCGACGGGCGTCACTTGGTGTAGGGTGATGAGAGTATGTATTTGAATGGTCTGAAGCCAGTTAAGACCTCCTGACATGGAAAGCACCGCTCCGAACACTATGATGGCCATGAGCGATGGGAAATAAAGAATACAGCGAGGGGAAGCTTACTGGAAAAAGAGATAGCATATACCATAAGTTTCGTTTTGAATAGAGTCAGGATGCCAAATACTGTGGCAAACCACAGCCACCATATTATAGATATCAGTGGTCCTTTCCACGGAATAAGTGTATTGAAGGTAGATTGGGCATCTCCGATCGTAGCCTGTAGATATATAGCAGAGTTTGTGATATTGTGTAAAAGTGTTTGAGCTGTACGAAGGTCTTCATGGAAAGATTGCTGGAGTCGAGTTTGGTTTAGTATCTGCGTAGCCATCACGTTTTGAAGAAACGCAGCTTTCTCTTCAAAGTGGCTAAGCGCTGCATCAAAATGTTTCACACGCTGCAAAATTATTGTTAGTTGCTATCATATCAATGGCATCAGGCAAGTCACACACATCATCAAGGGAAGCGTGCGTTTGGCTCACACTAGACACTATTTCACTCAATGAACGCTATCGTCCCGTTAGCAGGTGAGCTATACAAAGCCAGGGGTATTTACCATCGATGTGTGGAGATGATTCAATTCTTCCACCACGATACCCATTCCAGCCTGCTTTACCTCAGTGAGTGAGCCTTGAATATCGGTAATAAGACGAGCATTTGCCTGGAGAGCAGTCTGCTCTGCGGAAACTAAGTCTGAGTTTCGCTTCACTTCTTTGACAAGTGCCTCGTTCAGAACTCTTCTTACTTCTTGAGCCGAGAGAATGGACAACTTAATTTGCTGTTATCCGTTAGAATCCAGGCGTAAATTTCATTGGGTAATAAGAAAACCGCACAACTGAGTTGGAGGAAGGATACCTTAGCGAGAGTAGCAGTCTCTGTCAGAGTGGTTTCAAAAAATCCCCGGAATTCTCCATTTGCATTACGAAACATATCCCTGACACCTGATAGGAGTTCCGTAACTTGGCTTTGAATTCTGTTGCTATCTCTACGTAGATCACGTAGTAGATTTTGCCGTAGGGTATCAATACTCCTTATAAATTCACGATACTGTTGAGCTTGGGTATAAGAACTTTCCAGAGATCGGTTCAAGTGCATGTTTAATCCAGAAGTAACTTCAGTTAGGCTTCTATAATGATTAAGAAGTTCTTCCTTCTCAATGTCAAAGCGAGCGGCATGGCACATCACCGCAGCATTTTGACGGCTGTTGCTATAACTTGTCCACCACTGTGGTTTTGACTCCAGGGATCTGAGACATGGCTCTAATACTGCCGCTGGGATAATCCTTTCCTCTTCTACGACTTGAGATCCTTGAGAACTGTCCTGGTACTGGGGTCTCCGGCCGTCATGAGAAGGAAATGTGTCTAAGCATTTCTCGGGTATCGCGGCTCCGGTCCCAGTTATCTCGCATACTGCTAATTGAGCAGCATATAACGATTTGACATAGTCCAAGTCAGAGTGAGTGTGATGTCTTCTCTCACTTGTCTCAGGTGACAAGGTTTGACAAGATGTAATCAAACTTGTCGCAGCACGCTGGTTGCAGGATGGTGCGTGCTGCATCGAGTCTAGTAAATGCAGAGCCTTAGAGAAGAAAACATTCTCTTGAGCGGGATTTGTATGGAGTAATAGTGGAAGATCAATTGAAATTTGGGAGTCAACGTCTGAAAATTTATCAACATCCGGAAATCTGAGGCCAGCTGGTGCTTGACTGTTCAGAAACGAAGGCAGTTTGAATCCAGTAACGCTACCGATAGTGGAGGTGAGTATTTGAAGGTAGAAAAAGAGAGAAAATATGCGAGCCACTCGCGGATCTGATGCGCTGTATGCCATTTCCGGGCTCGATCTGGAGCAGATATAGTAGAGGGATTAAATTTAAGTGGAAAAAAGAAGAGTATAGAATTCTAATCGAGAATATATGGAGAATTCGGGGTGTGGACGGTACTTTAGCTGTTCAACAACCGTTGCCGGTATAGGGGAAGAGGTCAACCTTGACCGAGGTGTCTAAGAGGATAGACTGCTGAATTCTGATCACAGCAGCGGGTATGTGAGTGTACAAAGAGTGAATGTATAGATATCCTTTATAGGCGTAAAGAAAGATGAAGCGCGGAATTGTGAAATTCATCTTGACGTAGTTGTCGTGATGCTTTTTCTTCCTGGCGGTTTTTGTGTTTCGTTGGAATTGGCGACTGGAGGGTTTCATCACGTGACTCATGGGCGCTCCCATGTAGAAGAAAAAAATAGTTTGAGATGCAAAAGTCAGGAAAGGCTGAACAGATACCCCGGGATCTGTCAGTATGGCGCTGGCAACATCAAGAAACTGCTGCACACGGCTCCTAAGGGAGTCGTCCCGGCTCAATGCAGCTCTAAGTTCCGCAACACTGCCTTCTTTCCTGCTCCCTGCGTTTTCGAGGCCGTTTTCAATCTCCATCTCAAGACAATCTCGAATCGGCGCTGCCCCTATCGCAGTGCCTCCAGAAGTGTCATTACAATTTCGCGATCTGCCTCTAGACCAGACTGTATCAAAGGCGCAGGCTAAATATGCTCCTGTCACTGCAGTGGACGTAACAGGCCCTCTGGGTAAGAAGAAACTGCTTTGGAGTACCTGATCGAATGCTAGGGCTAACTCGCAATTGGGAAACAGGGTCACTGACATTGAAAATTCCGCCATTTTCAACATTAAATTACGACCCAGAATCGAGAAAGGCTTCATTTGAAGTACAGGATGTGACTGTCAAGCACCAGGCTGCCATGTGGGGTATGCGAAATATATTCCTGCTTCTGATCAACCTTTCACCATTGAGGAGGACTAAATAGCTAACGGGGAACGTTGTAGGAACCATTAGACAGCACCTACGAAACTACATTCTTGGTGTTTCCGAAGGCCACATATGCATCTTGAAACTAGTTGGAGTTGGTTTCCGTGCCTCTGTCGAATCGTCTGCGATCACCCTCACTCCTGAATACCCTGGACAGCAATTTGTCTCCCTGAAGGTTGGATTCGCACATCCTGTTGAGCTTGGTATTCCTAAGGGCGTGGAGGCCCGGACTACGCAGCCCACGACTCTGCTCCTGGAAAGTATCGACAAGGAGGTTGTGACACAATTCGCCGCGGACATTAGAAAATGGCGACCTCCAGAACCCTACAAAGGCAAAGGTATATTCGTCAACGGAGAGACGATTAGACTCAAGGCGAAGAAGATCAAGTGAACGAAAGATGGATCTATGGAATTGCTCATGTGTGTCTTGTCTTTACATTGTACAATATATGTGTCATTCGGCGTTACGTGTATTTCTATACAATTTTTTGCAGTTCATTCCATGTTCCTCCAGCATGTCTTGCATGCATTGAACTCCTGATAAGACTATAGTTACCAGATCCACTGAACCACATCATTTATAAGCTGCTTGATCGTGAAAATAAAAGGGAAAAGCAATGAAGAGTGAATGCTTATGCCTTGGCTTCCTTGGCGGCGTACATTGCAGTGACGGCTTCGATAACTTGGGCGTGAATGGTAGCAGGGGCGGCAACGACACCCTTGTTCTCCTTGAGGGTACGGCCAATGCTGAAATCAAGTCTCTTTCCGTGGATGTCAGTAACCTGACCGCCGGCCTCACGTACAAGCAAGTCTCCAGCTGCGTGATCCCAGATCTTCTCTTGGTAGTCAGGGCGGGTGGGGAGACGTAGGTAGATGTCTCCGGCTCCTCGGGCAATGGAGCAATACTTGGCCTGGGAGTCGAGACGGATGCTCTGGTTGGTAATGCCAAGAAGTCTGGCGACCTCAGCATTGTCACCCTGGGCAGAGTGGCCGGACTCGACACTCTCGCAGAAGCAGGCGTCGGCAATGTTGGGAACAGGTCTCATGGAGATGGGCTTGCTGGGGAGGAGGGCACCCTCACCAAGCTTGCGGCTGGTGGAGCCGGCACCCTTGATAGTGCCGAAGAGCACACCGGTCTCAATGCCCTCGGAGCCGGATTGGCCAACAGTAGGAGTGAGAGCAGCGTCGGAGACAGGCAAGTTAGGACATCCAATAGCTCCAACCTTGAGATCACCATCAACAATAAGACCAAGGCAGACGGCATACTGCTCACCACGGAGGAAGCCCTTTGTACCGTCGATGGGGTCAAGAGCCCATGTTCTACCCTTGGGACCACCAGCACTCTTTCCGCTGTCAAGGGTATCGAGGAAGACCTCCTCGCTGGCCATCTGGCCACCGACAAGCCAGTCACTCTCTGTGTCATTGAGGCGGGTTTCCTTAACAAGTTCCCAAATCTGGTTGCTAAGAGCCTTGTTCTCTCTAAGGGAGCTGGCCTCCTCCTCGGCCACAATCTCGTCGTCCGGGAAATTCTTCTTGATAGCCTGAATGATGAGAGCCTGGGCTCCAAAGTCGCCAATTGTCACTGGAGAGGTGTCATCTTTGGACAGAGTGCCTTTAGCCTTCAGCTGCGAGACTTTCTGGGTGAGGAGAGACGCTCGCTGGACTGCCAGCTCTGCTACTCGCAGCTCCTGGCGGTATGAGGGTGTGAACGACATGGCGGTGTTGGTGTAGTGGCGAGATAGACGAAGAGGAGAAAACGCGGGGAGGAGTATAGAGGCAGCAGTAGTAGAAACAGTAGTTTTGAGAGCGAGCAATGCCACAGTCAGCGAGAGCAAAGCAACTAGCAGAGTAGACAATGGTAATAACAGGGAGTTCGCAGGCATTGATGGGCTTTTATACTCGCTCGCTCCTCTCCCCTTTCGCTCCCTGACTTCTGCCTTATCTTCGTCTCGCATCCCAGACATGAAACGTTTACTTAAGCTTATTTGACTTTGAGTCTATCCGAGTTGCTTACTCTATCTTCACCGTCCGGCCCGCCTCGGCTCGGCTTTCCCTTTGCGCGCTCGCTCTGATACTGCAGAGTCCAGGTCTTGGCGTCGGCTATTACTGGCGCTTAATAAGCTCGACGGTCTGGCCGCTTAGTAAGAAACTTGTTAAGTACTTTTACATTTCTTAGTCACTATGATAAGTCATGCGTTAGTCAGCAAGACGTCATTCATTCACAGCCTCAAACGTCGTGAAGAAACAAAATGCGGGAGAAAGAACAGCTGTTGCGCGCATATCTGCTTTATCTGCTTCTCTTCGCTTCCTCTGGATATCGCAACCAGATTCTCCTTGCATGAAAGTGTCTGGACTAGGCGTATGTTTATTTTATTGGCCGGAGGCACGTCTGGATGCAACGCTACAAAGACCTTGTTATTCCAACGTATCCCCATCCCAGAAATCCCCGCACCGACTAGCAGGTGGTAGGCCCGGTACTGCATAGCTATGTTTTCAGGATCGGTATATATAAACCCTTCTTCCCCTCTAGTCACTGGTCTCCTTTGATTTCTAGATACTTTCCTTAGAGTGCAGTGTCTGTATCTATCCATGAAGTACCGATGGGAGTAAATAGTTACTACGGTTGCTAACTCAATTCTTTGGGGTTAGAAAAAGCCATACACGGCGATAACGGTGCAGATAGATAGTCTCACGGCTGAACAATACGAAGTTGATGACTGGAACGGCATTCCAGACCTGATCGAGGTCATCCGCCTGCAGGCCAGCGGACCGTCAGAGGCTAGTCGCGCCTTGAGGAAGAAGCTGTTCGTGGTTCTATTCTTGTCTATTGGAAGGGAAAGAAAGGGAACTGCTCAATTTCATGACTAACACATTTTCTTGCAGGAAGTATGGCAATGTACATCGTCAACTGAGAGCTCTCACGATCCTCGACTTTCTCATACAAAATGCCGGAGAAAGATTTCACAGAAGCTTTGCCGACGAGCCACTCCTTGAACGGCTGAGGGTTATCGCGACTGACCCCCATACCGATGCATCGGTCAAGGAGAAGTGTCAGCAACTGTACTCTCAATGGGCAGTGTCATTCAAAGGCGTTGCTGGAATGGAGCGAGTCACTGCCCTTTATAAACAGCTCCCGAAACGAAAGAAACGTGCTGGTCCCGAGAACTCGAATATCCTCAAAGAGCCAGCTGATGAACCTTTGGGCCACTCCGTCTCTATTGTCGCGGGCGACGGACCTTCAAGAACCTTGAGCTCGACCACTCCATCTTCGTCCTCCAATTCGAAATCACTATTCGACTCAAAGAAGAAGAATAAGCAAAAATCGGAAAAGCATTCATCAACTGCGGACAATATAACAGATAGACATGCTAAGGCTAAGGCTTCTGATGAGGATGTTGCTCGCATAAAACGTACCGTTGCGGATGTAGGTTTCGCCATAACCCGTTTAGAAAACGCAATGAAGCTTGTCAACCGCGAGACGATGCGTGTCAGCCAGGATAAAGAGGTCATGCGCCGTGTTGATGAGTGTAAAGTGCTGCGGTCTGAGCTCCTTAAATTCATCCATAAACTTGATGACGAAAATTATCTTGGGATCCTGATTCATAGCCATGAAGAAATCATTAACGCCCTCCTAGCGTTTGAAGTCATGGACAAAAGCGCGGATGATGACAGTGATAGCGAGGAGGAACTAGATTCGGCTCGTGCAAATACTCAAGGCTTACCCCCAGCAAAACCACCACGCCCACAGACCGTACCAACTTTACAGGTCGATAATTACAATGATCTGGAAAGCGAGAGTGAACAGTCAGAAGAGGATGATGACATTAACAACCCCTTTGGTGACAGAAATGCTATCAGTACTCCTGCATTGGAAAAGTCTGGGATGACCTGGTAAGTGCTAGGTCTGCTTTACCCAGCTTCAGCACCACTGCTAATCCTTCACGTAGGCGAGAAGTGTAGCTCACGTAGTAGCTGTCATCGTTACTTACTCTGCCATCATACTGAACACCTAATTGGCCGAACAATCTAGGCCCATTTTACCCACAGCTCATATCGCGCCTTGCTACTTTGAGACATCCCTTTTGAAACTCTCTTATGGTGGCGAAAACATCCCTCTTGCTGGTTATTATGACGCATCCGGTTCTTGAGCTCTTACAAGCTGGTACATTCCACCTTCAACGAAGCCTACCAGACGATAGGCAACATTTTCACGTTCGATACGTGCATGTTGATATTTTACCGGATTGCAGAGTTGTCCAAGTAGCTATTTAAGGAGAGGGATTCCCCCTACTACTACTTCTTCTCATAACCCCTCTTGAAAACCTTTATTCACCGACCATTGAAAGCATTCCTGAACTACACGTACGTTGTATACTGGCTGATGATCACAGTCAACTACACAAAAGTATGGTATTTTAAATCCCCAACAATTAAGCGAGAGTGTTCAATATATTATATAGCTACTGACAGGGACTAATTCTTGGAACCAGTCTACACAACGATACGCCGCTGTCAGGTATTACCGGCTTTGCTGATCTATACTTACGACTACACCGGTCTCCTCCACATTGTTTAAAACGGCACACACAACGAAGTGTTTATTTTTTCGTTATGTGCTTCGGAAAGTCAGCTAAGAAATATCCTGATTTCAACCCTTATACGTACCAGACTCCACGGCCAGTACCCCGTGACAGGGTAGTTGCAGCAACATACTCTACTGCTGGCCTCAGTCGTACGCAAAACAGGTCATGGTCTTGGTCCGAAGAAGGATCAGTCTATAAAAGCCCTAGCGTAAATTGTACTCAAACAAGGGACTGAATTTCATGCCCTTTTGATAACCCAACTTTGTGTTGTAGTCGGACCGGGACGTGGGCCATTCAGGAACCATACAGTCAATCGCTTACTTGTAAATAGCGTCCCATAATATGTTAGGGCTTTCCCTTCAAATACTTCGAAACGTTTCTATTATCCTAGTGTGTAACTTGATGTTCTCGCCCATACCTCCGTTATTTTGTGTTTTGTATGAAATAGACGCGACTTCCGTATTAGTTACATAACCCTACCTAAACGGGGGTACATAGAGAAGCCCCTTATTTGATTATTGATGAGAGCTCCTTGAGAAATTCCTGGCTTCATGCTCTTACTGTTTTTAGAAAAGCAGACAAAATGCAACATGGATGGTCGAATCTGTAATTATAGAGTTGAATAGGTTCTAAACTAGCTCTCAGTTCCGTTCAGCTTACTGTCAATAATCCTATCCATACTCAATATACAGGCCAAGAAAAATTCTAACTTTGAGGCTAAATTAAAGTTTCAGAATAACTACTCTGGAAAGCATTTACCCGCAGGATAACTTCCATTTAGGTAGGTACCTACCTTACCTTCCTACCTATATAGGCAAGGCCGGAACTCTATTTTGACCACTCTTATGCCCTTCCATGGGCTTAAAGCTTCCTCGCACAATTGAAAGAGCCCGTCTATGGGAAGGCAGCGGGTGAGGAATTCCAATTTTAATTAGATAACTACCAACTAATCACTCATGGTCTTAACTACTTTTGAAGCCCATTCCATCCATCGCTTTTTCATGCAGTGGATGGTGACTGGAGTAAGGCTCCTATATACCTTGTTAGCCAGCGATAACATCACGATTATTTTAGTAACCCATTTTCCATACCTCCATCTACATGAATTGTTTCTCCGTTGACGAACGTGCCAGCGCGGCTGCCAAGGTATAGCACAGCGCTTGCGATATCAGCTTCCTGGCCAGTTCGACCTATTTATTCTTCTAAGCCTCCATTCAATCCACGGGAAGCAGAAAGAGAATATACCTGCAGGGAATTTGCTGCCTGCGCCTTCTATCTTTGATTTTTGATTCTCGTCAGAGTCCCCGGTGGTCATTTCGCTAGGGAATAAACCCGGTTCAATACAATTGACCCGAATACGCAGTGGATATAGTGTGTGTGCAAGCTGGCGACTCAGATGCGTAAATGCTGCTTTGCTTGCGGCGTACGCATACTGGCCCGCTGATGTCGATTTAACCGTCCCCGAGATACTGGATATATTTATAATAGAAGAAGAATGCCCTGGGACGATACTACTTCCCTTATCCAGAGCCGGAATAAGCCTTGCAGTGACAAAATGATGTGATATCAAGTTTGAAGCCAACGTCTGCTGCCAAACATCTCTTCCATTGCCCTCAAGCCAGGAGCGCACCGAGTCCGCCGAACGGTAGTCAACTGATGATGCATGAACCTTTTTCTCTGCCTCTTGGGTCACCCCTGCATTGTTAATAAGAATATTGATTCCCTTCGGTTCTCTGGTCTCTAATTCCTTTGCAAGGTTTTCGATGTCGTTGGGATCATTAATGTCCGCCTTGATGCTATTTAAACATTAGTTTCCCTCATTCCTATATTTCTTTATATGGTGATATACCCAAAAATCTCCCCTGGCCCGGTTTGCGAGTACTTCTTTGCCACATCATCCAAGACTTCTTTTCGGCGACTTACGACATAGACGCGTGCACCGCCGGCTACAAGCCCTTGAGTTGCCATCAAACCAATACCGGATCCACCACCCGTCACCACTGCAACGAATCCCTTGACATCGAAGAGTCGGTTTTGAGTGAGATCCTGTGTAGATGTCATGGTACATCAAACCCTTTCGTCAGTTTTTTTAAAGATCGTAGAGAAAAGGAGATACTGTTAACTCAATTTTAAGATGGTCACACATGCATTTCAATAAGGGGCCTATATATATCTATGCGAATCATTTTACTATGAGGTCATAGGGGCTATTAATCTTGAAATCTTGAAATGTCTCCGTCACCGAGCATCATACTTGGTAGGAGACCTTGGTTGAGGTGTGTCCGATGGTGTAATAATCTGCATTCTTGGGATCAACCAAATGCCGAAAGCTAAATTAAATTGTTGGGATTGATTGACACTGGATAACTAAGGTTGCCGATCCAGCCGCACGTCATACCCAGTTACGCATGGCTGCACATACTTGGCAAACGTCAGCTGCTCCATGATAAATAGAGAGAATGGAGAGACACTCACCCAAAACTTCTTCCTCATTCCTTGCCAATAAATGACTAAACTAAGTGAAATACCATACACGCGAGCGCTCCATCTCAGCCTTGTGAAGTTCTATCTAGAAATTCTATCCCATCAGAAAAGAGCGGCTTGATATGATTTGAAAGAGTGATGTTAAAGCTCCTTCAGTACTTGTTTGGAGTTAGGGACATTAGTCCAAACCAAACGTGTGGTGCTGCACAGGCACCCGGTATGCGCGTTGCATCCTGCCTAATTAAGGAGCATTGTTGTTCTAATACCACTGCAGAATCCGAGTCTTTTATTCCAGATATTGTTATCCAACGGTCCAGATTTCCCTGCACAACATGTACGCGTATTAATATCGTGTGCGATCGGAGTTATCCTCGATGCGCTCATTGCTTGCGGGAGCAAACACCATGTTTCTATATTCTTAAGCGGAACCGGAAAAAGCAGCAACTTGAACCGGCCTAATCGTTAATGTTTCCAATGTCCTCCAATATCTGTGCCTATCATTAACATTGCAATGCCATCATGGTAGACAGATAATTGATAGCTCCAAAATATCTCAACACACTGATCGTCAAAACGTTTTTAGTCTTTGGGGTTAAGAAGCGTCTTTGAATACGATTTTCGGTTACACAAGGCTGATGTCGGACTTTAAACTTTGATAAATACTGGGGTTGCAGAGTAAACCGGTATGCCGCATTCTCGAGGCTCTCCAATTATAGTTTAGGTGAAATTACATATAAATTTCTCATTGACTTTTGTTAATAATCAACATTCGCCTTTCTAACGGGATTAATTGATAGAGTATCAACTTCTAGTCGGCTATACATATAGCATTGAGCATTGGAGCAATCTTCAGTGTAGTTGTAACCAAAAACATAGAGAATTTATATGAGCAAAACTGAGAAACAAGGATAGTATTAGTTGAGGGTTCTACGAACCGACTATACTTTTTGATATCCAATATATCTTTTTATTATAATGTTAACGAGTGTAGGAGTTATATAGCTAACATTTATAATGAAAGGTTAAGTGTAATAGCCCTGGTATCAAAGCTTTGCGTCTTTTGTAGCTATCACTGCCTCAAACAGTGCCCAAGATATTTTCCTCATAAACCGAGGTCGACTTTCCAGTGTTTTGGTTTTCAATCTGCACTTTACTGTTAGCTTACAACCTCCGCTTTGGTAGGATAGTAGCCCACCTCATAACGGGGATGAGACTGGCTCGCATCGACGTTACGCCCTGCTTGAGTCCCTGGTTGTGTCAGGACAGACATAATACAACCAACACTCTCCGAGGTGTGAGATTCGGGGCCTACAGCGTTACATTAGAATCAGTGAAAGGTTAAGGAACAGTTGGGCTCGTGATACGAACCTCCCACAGGCTTATAGAGAACATTTTGTCCCTGTCTGTATTGAGGCATTATAAGGCGTAGCGTGGGGCTGTTGTGGGCTGCTGAGGGTTATTGTTTCACAATAGGTTCTCAGTAAATTGTTGTTTATACTGTCCACGTCTGAAAAACAATCATTGCTGGCTTTTCCATGGCTTCTTTATATCCAAAATTGGGGCAATAACTGTTACCAGAGGAGTTCACCTTTGATCTCCTATGAGTTTCAAAGGTAAAAGTGGCCTGACAAGCTCGAACACTTGGTCACGAAAACGGGTGAAGGTACAAAGGAATACTAGAGCACTATGAAGTCATACATACGTAATAATTATGGAGATGTTTACTTCCTCATATAGAGGATTCCAAATCGGTAGTAATCGACTCCCACTCTCTTTAATAATATTCGCATATGAAGTCATACTTCTTGGGCAGCCCTGTTCCACGCAAACTGCGCCATCCTAGGAGAGGTCTAGAATGAATAACTCCACTAAAAAAAACAACCTGGAAGAAGACACGGATTTCTGAGGCTCCATATGCTAGATTTCGGGAAAGCAGTGTTTGCCACTGATATCTGCTCATCAAGATGATTCGGGCGAGTCAAGAGCTGTGCGAATCTTGAAGGCAGTAGCCATCAACACGTGGGATGCGGGGGGCGCCTCAGGAGCCTTTGCGCAGGAAGGGCGGATGCCAAGCCGGGAGCCAAGTTTTGATACCAAAAATAGCCTAGCGCGCGCTTGTGGAGAAAAGCCGAGAGTGGTTCGCATTTTATTACATAATCCCCTCTTTCATTACTCAGAAAGAACGCTATTAGTAATGGGAACCCGCCAAGCCGAGGCCGCCTTGGACAAGGTTGGTTTTTTCCTGACTTCAAACACCGGCTTGGGTGATATGGAACGTCATGATGCATGCCCAATGGCGGCCAATTCCTGCTTTATCCCACGTACCATACTTTACAATACCCTCTTCGAGATCATCGGCCTTTTAAGTCCCTTCTGTGCTGCTCTAGTGTCAAGACCACGATGGAATCCAAGAGCGGCTGCTATTTCACCAGCCCTGATCCATAACTGCAACACCTACGATATCCCAACTCGATACACTGTACTGGTTACCCCTGGCTCCAGTGGTCCCAGCCATCACTGGTCCCCCACTGTGGGTTTTCTTGCTAACAGCCTCCAGCCAAGATTCTGGTTCGGTTCCCAAACCCCTTACCCAGTCAGAAGCCAGAGACTGTGGCCGAGGATCCCTGTCCCAATTTCACGTCAAGCAGAGTTGCGGACTGGGGCTCCGATATGCCCACATTCGGGCTGGGAACGGCAAGGGAGCAGGCCATGGAGCTCGACGAGAGACCCAGAAACTGAAGCCCTAAGTTGTCTTGAACGCCGAGGCTAATTATTAGTTCCTCGTGTGAGAAGACTATTCAGACTATTCCACCAGCGTGCGGTATCTGGATTGTCGGTTCATGAGGGCTCTGGTAGCGTTGGATTTGGCGCGAACCATTTGTTTACACCGTACTACACACCCTTTGGTATCAACACATCAATTGGCATTTTTTAATAAACTGGCAACCCCTGTCAAAGGCTGATTCTTCAACCTTAAAACCAGTCAAACGAAAATCTGAACCACTTGTGACGTTATCAAGAAAGATATCCTGGTCTAAAAGGTCTACAATCGAACGTGGCATTCCCTTGCCGTTTGAAAACAAGGGGCAAAAGACAGAAAATCACCTCAGCTCTTCAGCTCTCGTAGTTCCTAGATTCCTGGATACCTTGACTGTTCTAGGTCTATGTGGGGATAGCCACCGACTTAACTTAGTTACTTACAGCGACGGCATTTCGTGCTCGAAAACGTCTAACTGGAAGACGGCTCCATGTGATAGTGATTGGAAGGCTTATTATGCGCCAGCTTACGCGTGCATATCGTTTGAACCATGACGGCAGCGATAACCTGACACAACAAAAACATACCATCGGGACTTATATCAGGAAACTCATCATACACAAATCCAATATCAGCCTTAGAAGAGCGTCCAAATATATTGATATGAACAGAAAAGGTGGCAGTAGACACAAAGTCATAAGAAGCACCAAGTTGTAGCCCGTTCAAGGGAGCTTGGGCAAGGGCTTAACCCGACATGTATTTTGACTTGAGGGGAAGCGTGGAGCTATACTTACGCATAGTAAGTGCAAGGTGTTTTCCTGAGCCGAAGATCCATTTATGACTACCTTGATCCGCTTCTATGCACTTCATGCAGCCTGTTTCTCGAAACACACGCGGGTCCTTTGTTTCCCGATCGGCCCCATTCCTAGCCTGTCTACAACCTTATGCCCTGCTCCCTCGGGTGTTACGGATCATAGCTCCTGGAGATACGACTACAGGCAACACGCGATGTTGTATTAGAGCTCAATCGACCTGGTTAAGTGCTATTTTGATCTCAATATCTGATAGCTTCAATCTATGCATGGGCCTTACGAGATTTATATATTCATCCTCGCCTATTTTTCTTTTCTTTTCTTTTTTCATTTTCTTTTTCCATTTCATGTACCTTTCTCCTAGAATGGATGGTTTGTAGCTGGTGTTAAGATGCGGGTACCGTGGGGACGAAGGTACATACAGCCAACATCGAGTATCTGCCAAATGACGTTTGGTCTCTCTTGGAAGCAAGATCTGTAGAAAAGCAACTAAATGATGCAGCTCATTAACTAAGGGGAAAGTTCACTGTATCAAATCTCGGATATACCCTATTGTAAGGGGTTGCAGGCGGCGTCTCGGTTTAGCTCAGCACATCTACATGGTCCTCCCATGAGATACAAACGGTCTACTCCGTTCAAAAGTGACAAATGGACGTTCGGAGCTCTATTTAGTGACGCAATGTTTCTGCACTCGGTGCAGATCTGCTCTCTGATATGCTTCGTCTCTGTGGATCAGTTGCATGGATGTAACCCATTTGCGGAGCAGTTTGCTTGGGATCGGATAGATAATAGCTAACTAGCGTTCTGGAGAAGAACGAAGGAGCTATACATTCCGTCATACGTTGATTATATAGATTCTTAGGTTCAGCTGCCATGGGAGCTGCTAGTGGCCTGTCCCACTATATATATGCATGGGATATGGCATTTGAATTGATCTCGAACTTCTTCGCGAATCTTGACCAAGTACTTCACGCCTTATTAAACGTGAGCAATATTTAGGGGTTATTCAACATACGCCTGCATCATGCTAAGAAGTCGGTACGTACTGATGAAAGGGCTACTGGCCTCCCACTGAACGTCTGTTGCATGATAGGTTGACTAACTAGCCGCCAATATGACCATAGAAGAAGTTCACAGAAGCCAGACGAGGCACTATACACTCACTTTAGACAGAAATACCCCAACGCAAGCGCCAATTTCAAAGCTGGTGACCCAAAGAATTCAAAAGCATTTATACCAAGTCCCTCCCTCAAACAACTACCATGTCAGAGGTTAGTCGCATCGACTCGCCAGCGCTACAATACAATTGCCCCTTTCATCACCTCAGGTCATCCTAGCGTATGTTGGTGACGGGCTAATAAGGCTCCTGACGCAGACCGGACGGCTCTAACTTATATAATCCTGCATTAAAGGTCCAGCTTGACCAGTTGGCCCTGACCCAGCCACTTGTGTACCCCGACGACGTCCCTTTCTCGACATTTACCAATATATCCCCATCATGCAACCCCTGCAAGTCTCCCGAAGAAGTATTGACAGATAAAAATCGTTCCATTGATCTTTTAACCCAGCCAGTAACATTTGATACGGTGGATTCAAATACGATACCTTGCACCTCATCTATGGACCAGTCTCTGTTATCACACTCCGCTGTTGACTCGGCATCTGCTTTGCCACATATGCCGGTGTCATTTGAAATGGGCCCCTCGGCGGGTGAAGTGGAACAGCGCAGTATCAATGCACCTGCCACCCTTCTTCACGGCATGCCGGACACAAGTACCTTGAGCAACATACCGAATGTTACAGATGGTTTGCACCTTGGCCATGACGCAGCTGGTGTGTCGGCCAATGGCCATAGGGAGTCAGCAGGTTCCCCAAGGAATTCTGACTTTGGTGAAGAGTGAGTATCTCCTTCCAATTCCCGCAGGTTATGGTAATATAGCACGCTAACTCTTGGGTATTTTGTCCAGTTTCCGGTTCCACTCCACATTGCATGCAGCCACTGCAATGGTGCAGGGTCCAGATGATATACCCATAACTTACCTTAACAAAGGCCAGATATACACATTGACTGTATCTGATGCCGGTGCCTCAGACTTTGGTCATTATCCTACAAAGTATCGTACCACTGTACGGATAACTTTTGATGACGAGAAACAGCGTTTAAAGCCGGCGAGCTATTGGAAATTATGGCAAGAGGGCCGTGGCGCCAACAGGGCTTATCAGAGCGAGAGCACACTGCTAGCAGTTGAATATGTGCCACACAATCAGGGCGAAGATTTGCAGCCTCGGTATCGGCAGGTTCAACTAGAACATAACAGCCTCGACGGATTTTCGGTAATATGGACGCCTCATAAGATTAATAATCGGCGAGACTGCGCCATATACGTTCGATTCAACTTTGTGTCGACAAGTTTTAGTTATTCCAAGGGAGTGAAGGGAGTTCCTCTCAGGCTCTGTGCTAAGACGGAGGCAATTTCATCTTCTCACGAGCTACCCGGAGCGTCAAGCTACTCTGAAATTAGCTACTGTAAAGTCAAGCTATTTCGAGATCATGGCGCGGAGAGGAAGCTTTCAAATGACCTTATCCACGTGAAAAAACTTATTCAACAGGTGAAGGAACAGATCTCCGAAGCTACACTGGGAACTTCCAATGGTGGCAAGCGAAAAAGGTGCAATGGCTCTGCGTTGATCACTGGCAACGAGTCCACGACAAAGACACGGAAATGCTCCAAAATCCCATGGTCATATGGCCAGGACCTTGCGATGAAAGGGCCCTTTGAGGATGATCTTCGTATGGAGTTGAAGCGGTTGACCGATAAGACTATGTCCAGGCGGGAAGTCAGCATCCTTAATCTTAGGGGAGAGCCTCAAGATGACTTGGATCTGTTCCCTTTGGAGATGGATATACGACGGACTAGTGATGCCCTTGGGCCAGAAGCCGAAACGGAGAGTAAGGCTTCAATAAAAGATCCAAGTAAATATACCTTACCTCAATGTATGGCTTTTGTTAGCTTTCATACTTACATTTTCTTTAGAATATTGTTTTTATGTGCAGCGACGGCAAAATAACAAAGGGAATGAAGGCTACTTTCACGCAATATATATCCAGCAGCTAACGGCGAAAGCCTTCACCGACGCCCTGGTGAAGAAGTGGAAATTCAAGACGACGGGCAAGGTACACACTCTGTTGATCCACGAGGACGGGCTGAGTGTTGTAGCTGATGACCTTGCAGTGCAAGCACTGCCGGAGGGAAAAGGAGTATTGTTCGATTTTCTGGAAGTGCATGAAGAGCCTTTGGACGTTAATATGGATTTTGATTCGGACACAGCGCAGGAGCTATAGGTATGATTTCGTCGGTTAGTTACCATTAGAAACAATTTGTGACGTAGATAGTTGGATCGGTAAAAGCTGGGAAAGCGATGGTGGTTATGGAATGCATAAGCGTTGATATAGAGTCGCTAATGTCGAGCCTACGCATGATGATACATGGCAATTTCGTCGACTTCTGTTCGGACCTGGAATTAACCTCAGGCTTTCTTGGGCGGTCCTCGGGCTGGATTATAACGAAGGGATAATGAATTGTATGGTTTTGTGTATATGTTGGAGTTTAGGGACGGTTAACGGAAAACACATGGTATTGATGACTAATTCATATTTACACTAATTTCGGTGGTTGTTGTAAGTAACACTGTTCAATGAGCGTAATGTTTGATACCGCTTATGGAGGAAGAGCCGCCAGGTACGGTGGCGAATATATATATATATAAAAATGGAGGCTATCCAATATGTTGCTATTTGAGAAAGAAGTCTAACTAAAAATCTGGTTTCTCGACATGTCCCAAGAACGCAGGGTTCCCCTCACTTTTCAGTAAAGCGTCAATATCTACTCTGCCGGAAGTAAGATAGCGCTCGCTGACACCCAGGTTGACCCGCTTGGAAAGAAGATCACGTAGTTCGGCACGTAACCTCGCCATCTCCGCCTTGGACACATTACCTGCCTGTCTTTCCTTAGCCTGGCGCCCACCGCCTCTGCCTCGACCACGACTCTTCGACTCTTGCTCAGCGAATTCTTCACTGTCGTAGTCTACGCCCAGGTCTTCGGCGGCAGATCGTAACCAGCCCGTTTCAGAGGAGATTTTCTCCTTGGCGAGGGTAGATTCTGTTATCTTTTTGGAGAGGTTTGCGCGTGGGCGAAGACGGGTTACGATTCCGCGGTCAAGGTGAATGGAGTGTAGCTGAACGTTTTTGGACGAAGGTTTACGTTTTTGTGTGTGGTGAACTTTGGCGACGAGGCGGGTTACGCCTGCTGTTTCCTCAGGGGCACATATTAGGATCGATTTCCCGGATGCTGAGGCGCGGGCGGTGCGGCCAGATCGATGGATATAAGTATCTGCCGTACGGGGGACGTGGTAGTGGATCACTAGGTCGATGCCTTGCATATCCAGGCCTCTGGCGGCAATGTCGGTGGCAATGAGGATGGGTGAAGGGTCGGCTGTAGGGGAAGAGAAACGCTCAACCGCCCTAAGACGCGCTTTTTGGGCCATGGAAGAATGCAAGGAGAGGGCAGGGAGGTTGAGGTTTTGTAGGAAGTGAGTCAATCTTCTCACGGACGAGATAGAGTTAGTAAAGACTAGGGTGCGATATCTTGGATAGAAGAGCAACACTGAATAGAGATAAAGATCCTAATGAACGTTAGCATGACGATCTCTAAAATAATAGATTTTGGGTTAAATTCACCTTCTCCATGGCAGAGCACTCGATTATACCCTCTTTGAGGTTATCTGCCATCTGCGAGACAGGATTGACATCGATAAAACGAGGCTTCTCATCTTTAAACCGAAGTTCCTTGAGAAGGTACTCCATTGACTCCTTTTTATCCAGAAGATTGTCATGGAATGAATGATCTCTTTTCGCAAGTTTCTGCTGTAATCCCTTTTGAAATGTTGCAGAAAAGACTAGTGTTTGTCTGCCAGCCGGCTCTTCTTCCTCTTCGGGGGTTTCGTCAACATCTTGATCAGATGTTCTCGTCCTGTCAAGAGCGGAAAGTAACTCCCCAACTTCCTTAAAATGGCCCTCGCTAAGTAGCCGGTCTGCTTCATCGACTACAAGGAATTTGATGGACCGCAACTTGGTGAGGATCTGAGGAGTGGAGCTAACCATGTCCCAGAGCCGGCCGGGGGTTCCGACTATGATGTCTGCTTCGGCGAGCTGGCGTTGTTGCTTATGCACGGATAGCCCGCCTGTAACGGAGGCGATGTATGCATCAACGTTAGGAGCGGAGCTGGTAACTTCTTTCAGATGTTTGACGAGCTGATGTGCTAATTCGCGGGTAGGCGAGAGGATGAGCGCTATTGGCGTTTTATCACTGGACTTGGGTAAAGCTAATAAGGTAGAAGGGTGTTGTTCTTGTCTGTTTAGCAAATACTGTAGTATTGGCAGGCCAAAAGCAAGCGTTTTCCCCGAACCCGTGGCTGCTTTACCAATAACATCCCTTCCACCCAGAATTTCGGGTATGGTTGCCTTTTGAATGGGAGTTGGTTGGGCAAACTTGAGTCGGGAGAGGCTTGTTTGGAGCTCTGGACGTAGGTCAAGGGAATCCCAGGCTGAAACATCGACGTCAGGCTCTTCGTTGGCTTCATTCAGGATGCTAAAGGGTATCGATTGGACCTTAGCATTGTCTTTCTCTTGCCTAGGCTTTTCTCTCTCCTTCTTATCTTTCTTTTTCTTATTTTCTGTTGACTTGAATGACAGTTGTTTTGGCTCGGGTTGTTGCTCGACCTCGTCACCGAAACCCAGCCACTCTTCTCCATCGTCATAATCATCTAATTCCTCGTTGTCGCCGGTCTTAATACTGCTCTTCGCAGCCTACACATAGCATTAGCATACCACGCCATTCTCACCAAGGACCGTAATGACCGACCAAAAACTTCAGCTGCTCCCCATCTGCAGGCCTGATAATATCTACTCCTTCTATCTCCTCAAGGCCGTAGAAACCCTCTGCATTCTCAAGAATATCAGGAGGCTGCACGGTCTGCCAGTTCAACGCATCGATGTTGGTAACTTCTTCTGTCAGGGCGGCAGCGTTACTTTTATCAGACTTGTTGGTCTTGAGTCGCTTCTTCGGTGGTTCCGCCGGTTTCGTCTGCCTTTTTTTGTTTGCCATGGCAGCATTAACGATCCGATTCTGTTAATATATGTAGCTAGCAATTATTTATCACCCACATCGTTGTCAATAAAAGAGAGGAAAAAAGTCAATGCCAAGCCATCTTATCTTATCTGGGGTGGGTAACTCTAAATTTTCATTGGATTAGTCATCAAGAGCTCCCATTGGTCACCATTATTTATGACGCGCATTTACCTCGCGATGGAGATAGGAGCAATTAACTAAATACATCTTTTGAGTTACTTCGATTTGCCCTACCTGTCGCTAGACAACCTCCCAGCATGCTACCTGCCTAGGTCTGACACGGCTGTTGATGAAGAGAGAGGTGGGAGCCTCTAATTGGTTGGCTAGAGAGTGACCAACATACTGCTGCTTGGGCAGCGTCATCCGCAGAGATGAAGCCCCCCCTCCCTCAACTTCATGTCCCCTGCAAGATCTCTTGACCTTCCATTATTTAACGGTCAAAGGGCAGCGGCCGCCGACATGCGCTTCACAAACCTCAAAGAGCACTTTAAGAGGAGTTCTAGTGACAAAAAGGAGAAACCCAGGAGTAGAGGAAAATCCCACGGCAGCCTTGGATCCGCAGCCTATTGACAACAACAAGAGCCATGCTATAACCAACCCGCTAAGTCAAAAATGGTTGCGATTGACCCTTGGTCGGAAGCGGAGAAGCGCTTGAAACAAGACGTTGCGTTGAATAAATTGTGGGAGGAATCCATCCGTATCCTTAAGGAAGACTTCACGCTGGAGGAAAATGAACTTCACAGCTTCCTGATGTGATGGCTAAGCAGCTTGACTGCAAGAAATGGACAGTTTTCAATAGTGTAAAGTAAACTGATGGTTGTCCCACGGGTCCTAGGGATAAGATGACCAAAGTGTGCCGGAATATCATTGTGTTTAGGGATATCATCAGCTGCAATAGCATGTGCCGGAGTAATCGTTGGCCTCTTGATAAGGCCTCATATCTTTATATCTCTCTCCTGGTTGACAATGCTAATGTAGAAGTGGCTTTTCATACAAGCGATGGAACAACATGATACTCTTTGAAAAGGTTTGGCAATAACATCCTCTCTGATATCTCGCCTTCATATAATCGAAAACCATTTCCTCAGCTGCGACTCCAACCTCAGTGCTGACCTGACAAGAACACTTGAAAACGACCTGGTACTACTATGCTCTAAAGCATTAGATTTTCAGTCTCGAGCAATCCGTTACTCGCAAAAACGATTGGCGGTCCAATTTCTTACGGACGTGTTCAAGAAAGACGCGTGGGACGAAGTACTACGGCATGTTGGGCGATATGATAACTCTATCCGAAATACCCCTTCCTCAATTCACGATATTAGGGTGGATAAAAAACTTCAAGAAATCCAGAATGCGCTGTAACGAGTGCAAGTATGCAAACCACGTCTGTGTAGAATGGAAAATGACAAATCTCTTCATGAGGTTATACATCTATCCGAACAATGATCGCAAAGACAGAAACAACAAGCGTGTGCTAGGCACATGTGAGTGGTTTACAAGCCACCATCAATTCACGAAGTTGAACCAAAGCACATCCTCTGAATTGCTCTAGGTTTCGGCAGACCCAGGGTGCGGGAAGTCAGTATTCAGCAGGTACCTGGCCGGTGAGTATTTGCCCTGTGGCAGGAGAACGGCCTGTTATTTCTTTTTTAAAGACGATTACCTGGACCAGAAGCGAATCACATATGCGATCTCCTCCATTCTACGTCAGCTCTTGTTAGCCCAGCCGCATCTTTTGCATGACTCTTGGACTAGTCAGAGGCTGTTGGGGGAAGTCTTGTTGATTCCTTCAATGATCTGTGCAGTATGTTTGTTCGTGTCACTGCAGAGAAAAATGCCGGTGACATAGTCTGTTTGTTAGATGTGTTGGACGAGTGCAATGGAGATGACCGGAAGACTACTTGTTGAGACCGGAAAGGTGGATGTTAACTCTGAGGACTCTCAATTTAGCGAAACGCCTCTCTCATGGGCTGCAAGCTATCGACACGAGGGAGTAGTCAAGCTGCTTCTTGAAACTGGGTGCTGGGTGGGTATAGATTAAAAGAGCTCTGGTAGGTTATTGTGGGCTATAAAAGGGAAACATACGTCTAATATTGACCGGGCCTGAAGGCTAGCAAGAGGGCTAAAGACACGGAGGATCCTGAAGTGCCCCTGAGTTGTATAAGTCCATATTCAACACTGCAAAGTTTAAGGTACCTCGGCACCTCGGCATTGATAGGCGCTAAGCCTAATCAGGTCGTGCAGGGCACCTTCCTCGCTGACCAATCATCTTCCACATCACAATTCGCGACAACCCATATTTGAACAAAAGATAAGGCAGATATCGCCTACGACGACGACGGTTGAATACCCAACAAACATTAACAGCACGTAGCTTCCAGTGACGGCCAGTCATGGGGAAATCCTCCAAGGACAAACGTGACGCCTATTACCGTCTGGCCAAAGAACAAAACTGGCGCGCCCGCTCGGCCTTCAAACTCATACACCTCGACGAAGAATTCGACTTATTCGCCCACTCTGATCCCGATAGCGTGCGGCGCGTGGTCGACCTATGCGCCGCACCAGGCAGTTGGAGCCAGGTGCTCAGTCGTGTGCTAATTCGCGGAGAGTCATTCGGTAGGAGACAATACGAGCTGGACAGAGGCGCTGGGTGTGTCGATGAGGACGTGCAGCCGCGGAGAGATGTGAAGATTGTTTCAGTGGATTTGCAGCCCATGGCGCCACTGGAGGGCATCATCACTTTACAGGCTGATATCACGCACCCGAGTACGGTGCCATTGCTCCTGAATGCGCTCAACGATGAAGGGGAGGAAGAAAAAGTCGACCTGGTACTGTCTGATGGAGCGCCCGACGTTACTGGCCTGCATGATCTGGACATATACGTCCAGAGTCAGTTGCTGTATGCGGCGCTGAACCTAGCTATGGGCATACTCCGGCCGGGCGGGACGTTTGTAGCGAAGATCTTTAGAGGGCGGGACGTGGATGTGCTATATGCACAGCTGAAGAGCGTGTTTGGACGAGTGGTTGTTGCGAAACCCAGGAGCAGCCGGGCCAGTAGTCTTGAGGCATTCGTTGTGTGTCGAGACTACAAGGGGAGCCCGAAACAGGCTATTACGGGCACTACGTCTACGGAACGGTATATGGCGCGCTTCGTGGCGTGTGGAGATGTGAGCGGTTGGGATGCGGATGCGTCGTATGAATTGCCGGAGGACCATGTGAGTCTGGATCCGGTGCAGCAGCCGACGGCACCGCCATATAAGCGGGCACTAGAACTACGGCGAGCTAAAGGGGGAGCATTCGGGAAGACCAAAAAGACATGAACATGAAAAAAATTATTCTAATTCTTGAAGAAAAGTATTAAAAGCTACTAATTATCCGAAAGTGAATTTAGTAGACCTCCAGAACGAAGCGGTGCTGGTCCTTAAGCCGGTCCATCTCAGCGCGGGTGTCTATTTTGGTATCTGTGGAAAGAGAGGCTACCGCTTCCTCCAGGACAGCAGTGACGTCGGGAACAGGCCACGTCGGCCCACACAGGTAGAATGAACCGTGCTTAGCGAGGTAAGCATCGGCTATCTGGGGAAGAGTCTGTCTCATGCGGTCTTGGATGTAGACTTTGTGTAACTGGTCTCGTGAAAAAGCGGTCGAAAGCAGAGTGATGACGCCTGAGGCAGCGTAGGCCTCCCACTCTTCGCCGTAACAGTATTCTTCTCGCTGGTGACGAGCTCCGATATACAGCAGTACAGGACCAACTTCCTTGCCCAGAGACTTCTCCAGGGCTCGGTGCTGGACAAATGCGCGGAAGGGAGCGAGCCCGGTACCCAGTCCAGCCATGATGAGCGGTGCCATGGGATCAGTAGGGAGTTTCATGACGCTGGGCTTGACGCTGACCGTCAGGGGGGCACCGGGGGACAGTCTGGAAAGGTAGGTAGATGCATGACCCGAGCGAGCTCTGCCACGTCCGTCTGTCCAGCCAACGACGACGACCATGAGGGCCACTATGGAGGGCGCTAGGCGCTGACAGGAAGCAATAGAGTACTCTCGTCGCTTGACGGGGCCTACCATGGCGGCCAAAGTGGTGAATGTAGGTCTGGCCGAGGGGAATTCCTGGAGAATGTCTTCGTACGTCAAAATATCGACGTCTGAACGCTGCTTAAACTCGTCTTTACCCGCCGGGGATGCAAGGTGAGCAAGTCTCTCTTTCTCCTTGGGGTCGGTAGCATGTTCGCTAAGGTCGAGGTAGAATTTCTTGGGTGGCCGGCCCCAGAGGTCGAGCCTTCTGAGTGCCTGGTAGGTCGTCTGCGTCTGCCTGCCTTCTTCTGTCCGGTAGCTGACTATCTCATCCAGATCTAAGGGATAAGTGGCAGCAAACTCCTGCACTTCTTGAGGCGAGTTCTCGGGATGTACTCCCAGCGCCTCTCCTATCTCGTATGTCAACCCAGAGTCACCCAGGTCTAGCTCCAGATGGAAAATATGACGATGGTAGTGTGATGGAGTGAGCCTGCGGTTCTCCTTGACGGTGACAGCGTAGGTCTTTGCTGGGAGTTTTGGTAAGGTTGTCTTTGTCCCAAGTGCCTCCTTGAAGAGAAGTCCCTTAGTAACATCTTCAACAGTAACCTTGTCTTCTTCTTGTTCTTCTTCATCTATGTCTATCTTCTCCTTCTCGGCGGTCTTTTGTTGTTCAACCTCGCTTCCAGTAAACTCACCAAGAGCCCTGCTGGTCAGGCTTACTAGGGTCACTCTAAGGCCGAGAGGGAGCATTTGCCTGAAGAGGGACTCCTGCTGGCCTCCAAGGATTCCCACGGTCTTGACTGTCTCTGGAAGGACCTTCGCCATTTCGTCTGCCCCCGCTGGCCAGGTCTTGACTACTAACAGTCCCGTCGTCCTGAGAGCATCACTGGCAGCAGCATGGCCAAAGACAACCACCACTGAGACAGCATCCGTAGGCCCGTGATACTCATACTTGTCACTGATCTCGATGTCTCCCCCTTTTGTCTGCGGCAAGTCATAGACTGCATCTTCTTCCGCTGGTATTTTTGAGGCATTCTTGTGAAGCACCATTGACGGAGCAGCCTGCACCGCCAACGCTGTCATCTTACTTTCGTCTCCCTCCCGGCAGCTTATCAGGGTCACACCCAGCTCTGCTGCCATCTCGACGCAGGCATCACTGTCTTCGACACTGTCGTCTTCCTCACCCACTAGATGCAACACCAGTGGCAGAGAGAGCAAGGCCGCCTGCTCGAGACTCGCCCTGACACAGCCCAGAGCCCTGGCCGGTACGACCACTCTGACTGCCCTGTCTCTTTCCTTGTCGCTTCTCTTTCTCTTCAGCTTCTGTCTCTCGCCGAGGAAGCCCAACGCGAGGCTACCAGCCCCGAGTCTGGTAGATGGCATGGTAGAGGCTATAGCAGAGGTCATAGGAAGCCGCAGTGGTGGTGACAGCGGTGGCAACAGTCGCAGCCAGGGGTAATATAGTAGAAAGAGTGAAGAGCAAAAGAGTGTAGAAAGTAAGGGGTAGCAGCGAAGTGAGAGAGTCGGAGTAAGGTAAAGGGAAGGAAGTGAAGTCCTCCCCCTTATCTAACTCATCTTATCTCATCTTATCTCTGCTGCTACGCGCTTTTTTCCTATCACGCCATCTTCAGCTGTTTTTACTCACTGTTACCCCCGTACTGCTCCTGCCGCTTTCGGCCAACTGCGCGCTTTCCTGCTTTGTAAATTTCAACAGGGGATTGCGTGATCTTAGTCAGCACGGGAAATTAGTAATACAGGGGAAAGCCCTAGCCCTAAGCCCTAAAAGTCAAGAGGAGGAAAGTAGATTGGTATAGAAGCAAGCAGCAGTAATAAGTAGTTGTAGATAGGCGGATACTTGACAACAAAGAGTAGCAAGGAATATAGAAAAAAGTACAGAGACAGCTGGATTATTTGCTGGGATGACTGCTGATGTCTGCTCCCCCGTAGTCCACCCGCTTGCCCTTGCGCGGCGACACCCTCCTGCTCGGCCGGACTTCTTCGTCGTGCTGCCCTCCTCCTTCATCGGTGAAGCGAGAGACCTCCCTGTTTGCCGGGCTGACCTCCAGCGGGCGGCGGTCGCGGTGGCCGTTGGCTTCTTCCTCGCGGTCAGAAGCCGTCCGGACATCGGCAGGGTCGCGGTAGCAGATGTCGTAGGCGCTTCGTTGGGAGGCGACCTCGCTATCCCCGCCTGTCTTGGAGTACTCGCCTCGATCGGTGTCGATGCCATCGCTAGTGTTACTACTGACCTGTCTTGTTGTTCTAGTGGTCGGACGTCGTCCCAGACCCGGTAGTAGTGGCAGACTTCCTAGACTTGGTCGTAGGAGGCGAAGTTGCAGCATGATGACCAACGGATGGATGGCTCTTCTTGACGTCTGTTCTTAGAAAACTTGAAGGATCGGTCTTTTTCTTTTTTTCTTTCTTCCGGTAGACAGTCTGATAGACAGATAGATGTTGCTGTTGATAGATGTCTTCTTGAATCCTTTGATGCTCTTCTCCCCCTCGCCTTCTTTTGCTGCTGCTGACGTCATGTCACGTGGGGTACTTCCTTGATATGGTTGCGGATGCCGAGGTAGCTAGTGCTTAGGTAAGACGCTAGACATCAGGGAGCAAGGATAAGGGGGTGATGCGCCGTAGACAGGAGCATGGTTGCTTGGTAGACCTGGCAGAGACATGGTCGACAGATATCCATGGTGGTTGCTAGACTAGACGGGGCGCAGTCAGGCAGCGTGCATAGAGGCTCTTAGGTAGTAGTGAGGCAGAGGACATGGGTAGGCAAGCTAGGTGGGAAGTGGAGAGCTTAAGCCTCATGCAATTGATGCAGATAGTAGTTAGATGCCGTCAGTAGGTAGCTAGCTAAAGAAGTTGTAGTGGAAGTGCTAGAGATGCAGGATGCAGTAGTTGGCGGAGGGAAAAGTGGTGATGCCTGACTCATTATTCAGTCCACAGCCTTTCCATGGTTGAGTAAAGCAGACTAGCCACGTCAACAGGTAGACTGGCAGAGCATTGACATGCTGGAGGCCTTTCCTGCGGCGTAGCAGACAGAGAGATAGTCAAGGAAAAGCCAAAAGTGCCTGATCTGCATGGACAAAGACAACAAGTAGACCCTGCTTAGCCGTTGGATACGATAACCCTCAGCAGCCAGGGAGGGCAGCCAGGGAAGGTAAAGGAGGAAGTAGGTAGGCAGGCAGGCAGGCAGGCAGCCTCATTCAACCTGCGGACAGGTGGGTTGAACTGTCAAAAAAGAAAAGAAAAAATGTCCTTCTGAGCTTGTTGGTTAGGCGAGGAAAAAAAATCAATGCAGTTGGAGTCATGCATGTAGCAGACTTCAACTTCGACATCAATATCAACATTGACAGGCAACAACCTAAGCGAGAACGAGAGTGAACTCGAACGGAATACAAACTCAAACGCCTTCAAAGTCAAATGGGTGTAGAGGCAAGAAGGAGGCGGAAAAGTGAACAGACGGGAACCAACAGGAAGAAGAAATGAAGCTGACAGAGCTTGACAGTTGACAGCTCAGGGATCATCAGCCTTGCTCTGTCTCAAGTCTTCGTTGTAGCCCGAAGTATAAGAGTAGAAAAGACAAAAAAGAAAAAGAAAAGAAAACAACTGACAGCTGCAGCTAGTGGGTCGGTATTGATCAGGCACGGCTCCCTCCCAAGGTTCGCTCCGGCCGTGCAGCTGGTTGCATTGCATGAATTTTTATTTTTTTTCTTATTTCGCTTGCTTTCTTTGCTTTTGGACACTAAGGCTCTGCAAACTGTAGTCTCCTGGTTTGTCAGGGATGTAAGATGCGTTCCGGGGAAGATCTTTGCTTTCTTGTGTCTCCCCCGTCTGATTTGCCCTTCGGACACTTTATGCAGCGCAAGCTTCCGCTAGTCCGTGTTCAGATCAGCTGAGTAACCTCGACCCAGCGCGATGGATCCGCTGGCCGGTGCATCCAAAATTCAATTTCAACGTTCATGCTGCTGTGAATGTAGCTGCCCATTTGCTATGCATGGTTCTGCATCCTTTTCCCATCGAAAGATGGTAGACAACAGAGTCAGGTTCTTGATATCAATTAAAAACGAACAGGTTAGGAGAAAATGCCGGGCGAGGGTCATATAAGATCCCTGCTTGATTCTCAGAACAGGGTAGATGGTGCTGTGGCGTGCTTCGTGCTGTGATACCGATGACACTGCCCTCGCCAACGACAGCATAGCCTAACTAGGGTATTTCATTCCTCCGTATATGTGTTAGTCTGCAGGGAATCACTCGGTGAATGTTTCCATTGTGAAACTCGGATGCGTTCTTCACTGTCCTAGAGACTTGAGGCGAAATCGTTTGATAGGGCCTTACCGCTTTTACTAAGCTGATATTACTCCATTATCATCATAATGATCATGATCATGATCATTATGGAGACAATATCAGATCACTCCAGAGGTTGCCACGTCAGACCGTCTGGAAAAATCTAGCTTGGTGTCATCATCATCCATGTCATTCATCCAAGTTGGACCGTTTTATCCGATCCATCCTGTCCAATGCAGAATGAGGGACCATTTCGCCTCCCTCTTTCACAGGCCGTGTGTTCAAGTTTGCGTGTCCTAGTGTAGTTAATGCAGGACCTGACGAGGAGGGTAGAAGGGTTAGAATTGCCTGGTTAGGTTCATCGACGCCGCATCATCCGATCAGCTGAAATTCATGCACTCCATGGCTTGTACAACCGGGCACAGTCTCCAAGAGAGTCAAAACAGTTGATAGCGCGGGACAATCTGGCTCAAGGAAGGCACACGAAACTTCTAGCTTCCTTGACAGGGGAAGTCAGAATTTCTCCTCTTTTGCCACATCAAAATCTGGTTTTTCCAAGCGAGAGAAGGGTGAGGCAATCAATTGCATGATCCGGTGCATAGGCAAGAATGAGGGTAAAAAAAAGTCAATCATCATAGCTCGGAGGCATTGGTTAGTATCGCTTGGTTTATTTTCACCGGCCCGTTAGTGGGAAAACGGGCACCAAAGTTAATCCAATCATGACTAAAATTATTGGAAGGGATCAATCAGGTCCTGGTGATGAAATTTTCTCTTTGTCACACAGCACATAGACTGCAGCAGGGTGAAGAAGAGAGAAATGAAAGTCGGAAAGTTTGATTGACTTGAAAACGAGCTGAAGTGATCTGAACACCCCCATGGACCATATCAATTGGATGAGGCAGCTCAGCTGTGAAAGTGCATGTAAGACGGCTTCGTTTCGGATGAGCCGGTCTATTGGTGGCCAGAGAAGGAAGGAAGAGAGGGGAGGAGGGGAGGGGGGGAAAGGGTATATCGGATTGAATCCCGTGAACGACATAGTATGTGGCCAGCCTCATTGTAATAGTCTTTTGATATTGGAATGGCAGGGAAAAGAAGGTGTGTGGGGCCTACTGGGCAGTTAGGATGCTGCAGCACTGTCGGCGAGATCACTTTGACCAAGAGTAGTACAACCAGCTTCTTTCCTCTCCCTTCCCACAGTTGAGTTTCAGAGAAAGCCCGAGGTGGAGCAAGAGATGCAGGGGTTATGAAGTAGAATAGGAGAACGTAAGGACATGCAGAGGGCTTGCGACACCCCCTTAGGAGAAAAGCGAGCATGGGCTAAAAAGTTAATTGATAGATCTTCAACTGAACAGAAGGGTGGTCGTTGGCCAAGGGAGTGTCCACGACATCTGGTCAACCGTGCTAAACCGGATCGCATTTACACAGCATGCAAGGGTGCTTAGGCCAAGTTGCGAATGCATGAGGCAAATGTGAAAAGGTTCTCAGACCACTCCACACCCGATAGCAAGACAGACAGAAGCCAAGCTGAGGAGAAGGCAGACCGGGGGACCAGAGGAAAGCCGGACAGATAGACAGACAGGCAAAGAGTGCCGTCCAAGGCCAGTGAAGGTGGGCAGCAATCATGCGAACACGACAGTTGGTCATCTCCTCAATATGCAGGATGGACGTGGTATCAAAATATCCAAAGGTGCTCTCTGCATCGAGGCATAAATATCGCCATCTTTCCCCCGAGAATGCGGATGAGATATCATCAACAAAGCAGACATCACCAGTGAGCAGCAACAGCGACCACAACACACTTCCCCTTATTAAATTCAGCACACAAAACAATAGCAAGCACCGCTTCCTCCTACATCATCAATACTTCCCTCCTCAATAGTCAAGTTTCCCCTTGCCAAACAAACTGCTTTGTCAGTCAGGAACTCGATCCGCCATCGGGTCCATAGAAGCCACACTTGAAACACCGAGAAAACAACAAGGAAGAAAACAAGCTGGTGAGTGCGCAATGAAAGCTCCAAAGGTATAGAAGACTGATGAAGAGTGTTTCAAAGTCACCATGTGCTTCTACAGCCAGAAGAGATTCCTCTGCGGTGATTGGGCCTGGGGTAGCTTTGCTGCCAAGTGCAACCACGAGTACCGAATGGGCGAAACCTGCGGCATGAAACTCGTCCACAACACAGAGAACATCCAAGCCATCTGCAAGCTTTGCGAGAAGATCCAAACCAAGCACCGCCGACGCAACACGGAGGTAGAGCGTATTAACCGGTGGCGCCGCGAAGGAAGCGTCATGAAAGCTTCCATGGAGAAATCTCAGGCCATGGTCAAGGATTTCGAACAGGAAATCAGCCAATTGGAGCATGAGAGACAATTGAAACAGAGATCCATTGGCAAGTGAGCACGACCAGGGATATATGCGGGGGCCAAAATTCGAGTGAAGCATGGAGAGTTGGTCCGATGTGCAAAGAAAAAGGGGGGGTATCAACTGCTAACGATATCATGTAATAACGCTTTCGTTTTCGTTTCTCTGCATTCTCATGTGTTATGCCTTTTTCTTTACTTTTATTTGGATTTTTCTTGTTATGATTTTGCAACACCTTTCGGGATAGTGAGGGACTTCGGACTTGCAATGACTGCACGGAGCAGGGACATTTGACTAGCTAGTTAGTTAGTGGACCAAGACTGAATGGAATGTGTTTTAGCGTCGTCACATTTGCAAGCTGAGAGTCGCCGGTTGCCAATGGATTTTCGTAAAAGCTGCATCGACAGCCGTCTCAGGGGCCCCGCGCCAGCCCTGGACAACGGGGATATTCTGGCGTTAGGCGCCCAAGGGGTCCCTTTTGTCTTTTGTGCTTGGGACAATCTGTCGTTAACCGCCTATCATTTTCCTCCTTGACCAGGGGCATCGCGACACAGAGGGCGGGCCTGCGCCGCAGCCGAGCAGCTCGCGCATGAAATTTCCATCGGCGCGAAAGACAGACAGGCCCGTTTAGCACCTCGCTTAGGCCCTTTTCCTCTGCCCTGTCTGCTTCCCTTCCGCTCTTCTCCTGCTCTTTTCTTCGCCGTTTTGTTGTTTGACGTTGAAAAAGAAAATAACGGAAAAAATAAATAAAAAAGAAAAAAAGGCGGGAGAGGCCCGTGACCTCGTCTACGCCTCCCGCGCGCAGTTTTGGGCACCGCATCTAAGCGCGCGTCTACCTTACGTAGTTATCATGTGATGTAAGCGCCGACATCAAAAAAAAGGGGGAAACAATAAAACAACTACGAGAGGAGATCATGGATCAAAAAGAGAACGAAATAAATGTGCAGACTTTCGTGGATGGCGCTGTCAGGCTGGATTTACACCTAGGTTTGGCATCAATGGGCTGGCCGGGAAGGCGTTGTTGTCAATAAGCCCGGCTACGAAGCGCTCGTTGCCTATCGACCTGCAGCAAAGCGTCTTTCGCATTAGCTACGCGCTACATGGAACACACGCCCCCTGAAATCTTTCCCATCGTTACCAGCCACCTTCAAACTTTGCATCCATGCGGTTAAAAAAAACACTGGGCCGCATGGAGCGGGCCAAACGGGCTCCAGGACCGTTGCGTTTTGCTTACCGCCCGCTCCCTTGTTCCCTTTTGCCTGCTCATTGACCTTCTAGCCATCCTCTCCACCTCTTTAATTTATAGCGCTGTTTCATCCTGATAGATATTCCTACAGCTTCACTGGCCGAAATTGGTACCTTTCGCGCCCGGGAGCTATTGTTGGATTTCCCCAAGACCCCTTTTAATGCCAGGGCCCTGCAGAGTCACAGCTTCACCGTATTTTGTCCCCATTCGGCCACCACATGTTGCCTTTGACCAGCTTTTCCGTCAATATCCTTTCCGTATTACTCCGCCATGCTAATCAGGCCCGCGGGTCTTCTTCTCTCGAGACACTTAAGTATTTGACGCCACTAGTAAACATTCAAGCGGACAGAGTTGAACCAACCTTAGTTTTGCAATTCCTGTACATGTACCCCATACGCAAAATAGATGGGTTATTACCTATAGATTGAGTACTGGCTAGTTAGATGATTAGCTCATTTATATATTTAGTTGCCTAAAAATGCCTTCTATCTACAAGTACGTTTAAATCCGTGGAAATATGAATGTATGCCGTCATTGTGTCGGAATAAGGTGCCGCTTGCAGTAAAATACCTACACTTTCGTATGATCTGCGTAAACGGCTCTCTCAAACGTAGTCGTCAGCTCCTCAAATCGTGCATCTGATGCTGAAATAACCTGTGCGAAGGTCGTTACAGCAATGCCTTCCTGGCGATATGTTGTCCTTGGCCGAAGTACCTAAGAGCTTTTTCCATGTCGGTAATGTGATATGTCCGATCTATTTTGACTGGCTTGATCTTCCTTTCTCTTAGAAGTTCCGTCATATCTGCTAGAAGCCTGAAGATTATTAGCTGAAAGCTAGTGTGAAGTCGGTGAATTGGGCATCATACCGTGAAGCAAGCTGAGGTTTTTTCTCGAGCACGAAGTTGAGATCGAACGAAAACACACTAACGCTTCTATCAAAAACATACAATCCCAGGTTTCCCTTGTCCAAAACATTTCCTCTACCCACGTCAATTAGTCTTCCACATGGCGCGAGGCAGCCAAAGCCCTAATAGAAGCCTGGACCTGAGACTGCAGAAAGCACTACATCAGCTCCTCGCCCCTTTGTCTCTTTCAACAGCTTCTGCTTGAAGTCAAGAGAGCGAGACCAAAAGATTCGATTTTCTGGGAAGCCCAATTCGTTAATCAAATATTCCTTTTTGGCTTGAGTACCAACAGTTGCATATATTTCTGCTCCGACGAGCTTCGAGTATTGTATTGCTGCCAAACCCAGACCGCCTGTAGCAGCTTGAATAAGAACTGTTTCCCCAGCTTCAAGTTGAGCTAGGTATCTCAGGGAATATAATGCAGTACCAAGTGCAATGCCAATTGTAGCCATTTCAATCAAATCATCATCGTCATTTGGCTTTAGACACTTGGCGACGGGGCTTCTCAAGAAAGTGTCATAATTGCCTCGCTCAAAACAGATAACCTTGTCTCCTGGTTTGATATTCTTGACGTTAGCACCAATGCGAGATACAACCCCAGTCGATTCGATACTAGACTTAACGCTTTCGAAATTTCCCATAGCAATAACATAGTCCTATACTACTGTGAGTTTTTGGGCAGTTGTTAGCGAGCGGGGAGACGTACCTTCATATTGAGGCCAACGGCTTTAACATTAAATTCCAGCTCATCTGAGTCGAGATCAATGTCACAAGTAAGTTGCTCACGGAAGTATACCGTGTCGAGAAGACCTGGTGTTTCAAGGGCTAGCTGCACATTCCCGGAGGTTGGGAAATCTTGGTCTACGCGAACATCTCCATTGTCCAGCCTGAATTCTTCGTTCAGCTGAGCATCGGGAACAACACGACTTATGTGTGTGACGCCGTCTTTGAGAATGAAATCCGTTTCACACTCTTCTCTTGATTGCGCTTTTGCAACCAATAAAAATATGTCTGCGGTCTGCTTAATAGCCGTCGTAGTCTCAGAAACAGCGGCATGGTCAAGGTCCAGGGTAGCAAACCTAAGATTCTTCGTTGGATTTTCGTTCATCAGGACCGTATTGATTCCGTGGGCCAAGGCAGCTGATGGATTTTTTCCGAGCAAATCCACTAAAGCGATCTGAATCGCAGTACATGCTGGTTGAGAAAATGCAACGTCTCCAATTCCGCTTGTTTCTTCTGGTTCAAGCAGTATATCTATTAGGCAGCTGCATTAGTGCATTGGAATCTCCCGCATATTGTGTTATTTCATAGACATTACCTTGGAGTTTCCATGCTGGGGCAGGCTTTAATTGAGCTAATGCTTTATTTAGCCTCCAGAAAACTCGTTTAACCGCAGGGAAACTATCCAGAAGCTCTCATCCCATTCCCGCCCATTACGTTCCCTGGCCAGTGAAAACAAAAGCTACCGTGGGGACAGCGAGATTTATCTTCCCCGTTGACGGTTTGCCGAAGGCACACTCACGATCGGAAATGGTTATGGGTATGATGCCTCGGTAAGGAAATCTAGTCCTGCGCTCAGCTAAGGTATATAGCAACCCTTGAATTTCATTTTTTCCACAGTGCAATACGTCCGATATGTTTTCCAGGCTTCTCGTAAGTGAGTACTCATCATGGGCGAAGTTCGGGAGTAAAAACTGCGTCTACAAAATGGACGTGTAAGGGTCGACGCAGAACTGAGCCTGCGTATCCAGCCGCACATTTGAGCCTTTCGGATACTCCTCGATAGTTTCAAGTTCTACATGCCCATTGGCGCCCCCGTACCCCGTAGAATTGACAGATGCACGCTTTGCTTTGTTTGCAGGCCAGGGATTGTTCTTGGTGACAACAGCCAGACATCCCCGTCGCAGATCCACTGACCAGCCGGAAATCAGTTAACTATAGTTAGCAGCGTCCGACAAATAGTTATGACGTTGATAATCAGGGGCACTCACGGCTTGGGTTCAGCCTGTTGATACCGATTGTTCCAGGAATGAGTCCTTTTTCCATCGCAAAAACGACTTTGATAATGCTTGTCAGGGCAGAGCCGGCCTCACCATGGCCTACCTGAGGCTTTGTTGATCCGATAAGGATGGGACATGCCAGTCTCGACTGTCTTCAAACACGTTTGCAATTGCTGTGGTCTCTATCGGATCACCAATGGGCGTTCCAGTCCCGTGGCATTCAACGAACCCAACGGCGTTATAATCAATAAGCCCCGAGTGCTCATATGCCTTTCGGATATACAACTCCTGCGCCATTGCGCCAGGCAGGGTGATACCATTGTTTTTGCCAATCCTATTCGAGGAGTTAGTACTCCGTAGTTGCGCAGTCTCAACCACCCAGCCGTCAGCTCACGTGGGCTCCCGGCAGACTCACGCAGTTAAAGAGACGCCTCTGATTATTCTCCGAATAGGATCGCCGTCTCTCAATGCATTAGAGACCCGCTTCAAGTACAAAACATTGATGGACTTTCCGCGCGCGTAGCCGTCGGCAGACGCGTCAAAGGCGTGACACATGGCGGTTGGAAACAAGGCGCCAATTTGTCCAATAGCAAAGTGGTATTCCAGCGTTAAGATAAGGTTGACGCCGCCGACAAACGCGGCTGGGATCTCGCCGTTTCGAAGGGCTGCACGGCGAAGTGGACGGCATACATTGTGGAGGAACAAGCCGTGTTCATGTTGACGCTGATCTAGTTGTTACCATAATACCCCCAGGATAGCAATTCAACAGAGACAGCTCACCTTGGTCCATTCAAGTTGTACAGATAGCTGACGCGGTTGCTCACAGTCGTCCTCCCCATACCCAGAACTTGCATGCCCTGGATTTTCTCGGGCTCTTTGAACGCCAGCGACTCGTAGTCACTGGCAAAATTACCAATATAGACGCCAGTCATGGTATTTGCAACCTGGTTGAGGGGGATACCTCCACACTCGAGAGCTTCATAGCAGCATTCGAGCAGTTGGCGCTGTTGAGGATCTAGTGTTTGGACGTCCGCACTCGTCATCTCAAAAAAGCTACTGTCAAAATCCTCGAGATCATTGTCAATACAGTAGTCCGTGGGTGGAAAAAAAAAACAAGAAATCCATGGAGACATAGTAGGTTTATCAATAGAGGAACAGGAATAGGCCCCTAACATATTGTATGGGTTTCCGAATATCTCTACTACCGCTGCCGGGTCGTTTGGAGCGAAGCAGGCGACATAGTCCTGCCAGACATGGGATAATTCTGTGAATGCGTGCAATCAAGGATGTCCATACTCCGGAATTTTTGAAATCGCATTAGTATCCCGGACACCCTCTAAATGCATGATGTTATCCGAGGCGGAGGCTCGGGCTTGAAGACGCAAACAAGGATTGGCTGTACAAATAGCCAACAATCAACTCTCCCTGAGCCGCCTACAGCATGGGAGCATTCACCTTCATCTCCACCGTCCCAGTTGTCTGGTTCAGAACTCTACGCCGGTTCTCCATGGATCCCGTATTTGCCTTGATTCATCCTGGGATTGGTGCATTCAATCTGCCTGGTTCAAGGAATAATCACCGCCCAATTATAAGCCGATAACCATTGGAATCGCATTTGTCGCAACCAGCAGCGGCATTTCATCCCTGGCTCACCTAGGCACGTTATTCTATAACCCTCTGTTTGATTGTCCCCACATAATACGCACTTCCGCATGTGCATGCATGACCTTTCCAGGTATTTAATCCAAGTTGGCGGAACTCCGTGCCCCCGAGCCATCCTCAGGGGTGTTAGTGGAAAAGACAACAAGAGATAACTACCAAGACACTAAGGGACCCGAGTTCAATGTGGTGACGTGAGTTCCACCTTCCTTTACGATAACGGAGCAAATCCTGTATTTAGTGGCATCTGAAGAGTAGCTGGGATGATCTCCAAATAAGGACATGCTCTATTTCAAGTAACACAGGACAGCGAATCTCCTTTGGCTGTTTATGGTCTTTATTGACCAAATGAAAAAGTGTGTTATAATTTCACGAATCAGAGATTTAGGGCGAATGAAAAGATTGTCCCTAACCTTCCTGTCGCTGCTCTTGCAGCCCAAATTCAGTCTCTAGATGTGTCTTTAATTCAAGCTGGCGAATGGGAAAACTGGCAACGAATCCGCACATGCCGAAGGGTATTGCTAGCAACCATACAAACCTTAAAGATTGAGTATATAACCCAATCACCTCCGTTAATAGTTTCGGGTCATGCATGAGGGAGGATGAGAGTCCGGAACTTGCGAGTGCATATGCTCCACCGTTCGAGAGCTGACGCCTTAAAGAAGGATCGCTGATCCTTCCGAGAAGGGATTCAGTCTTCTCGTTAAATATTGCAGTGGGGATAGCAACCCCCCAGATGGACCCAAAACCCCGCATAAATGCCCAGGTTGCAGTTGCCGTAGCCATATCAGATTCGTGCAAGGAGGCTTGGATTGGCGGTAATGTGCTTGAATATATCAAGCCTGATCCAGCTCCAAAAATTATCTGGAACCCTGCCCAATACCCGGCCGACGAGTGTTGATCAAGAATTGAGAAGAGCCCTACGGCGATTGACATAAGACCGAAACCAATGAAATGGAAAGCTCGGTATTTGCCCCAGACGGAAATCAGAATACCGGCCAGGATGCCGAAGGGGGCAACTGCACCCGTAATTGGAAGAACGAAAAGACCAGACTTCGTTGCGGACGTTCCTAGCACAGCCTGGAAGTAGACTGGCAGGAAGTAGCCAACCCAATAGATCAGAATAGAACCCGTGAATCCTAGGATGAGGGAAAAGAGAGATGTAGGTGTGGGGAATAATCTCAATGGGATAGATGGCTCACGGCAGAAACGCGATGTCTGATGTGCATAGAAAAGAATCAATCCCAGGAACCCAATAACGAGGGGTAAAATAATCTTCCAAGAGGACCAAGGGTAGAGCGTGCCCGCCCAGGTCAATGGCAAGAGAATAGATATGACAGCCATGACAAGTATCATATTGCCAATAAAGTCCACACGTAAAAGCTGTTTGTAGAAACCATTACCTGGTGGAGATGCCACACGCAAGAAAAAATACAGCAAAATCAGGGATAGCCCGGAGAGAGGGAGGTTCATGTAGAAGATCCATCTCCAGGAGGCATGCTCAGTCAGGCCGCCACCAAGTACCGGCCCTACCACAGTGCCAATGGCCCAGATAACACCCATCAGCGCAACGTACTTTCCTCGTTCACGCATGGGTACCAGGTCTCCAATGACAATATCTATCAGGGTATTAATGCCCCCGCCGCCAATGCCTTGAATAGTTCTGCCTAGAATGATCACGGTAGTTCCGTTCGCACCTGCAGCTAATCCGCTACCGATAGCGAACCAAACAACCGAGAGGATTAAGAGCCATCTCCGACCAAAGATGTTGGCTGATTGACCGAAGAGGGGTTGCGTGACAGTAGACGAAAGCACGTATGCATTCGTAATCCAGATGTATAGAGGACCAGCACCCAAATCCTTGGATATAGTCGGCAGCGCCGTTGAAAGAATTGACGTATCGAGCGCAGATAAAAAAGTAGTCATGCATAGTGCAGGGAATATGGCCCAAAAACGCCATGTCTTCTTCGTAGAGATAACAGTGCTGATGGTATTGGCCTGGCCGTGTACCGCTGCTGCCCCTGTTAGGGTTACATTTGTATCAGTTCGGGAGCAGGAAACAGTTGCTTCTCTCATATTGGCCAACGCCCAGCAGTTATGCAGCTTGCTGTAATCAGGCCTCGGTAAAGAGGAGATATATTGAGCAGAGAGATTATCATTGAGCCGCGAGAATTCAGTCGATAGACACCAATATATATATATATATGTATGTATGTATGTATGTATGTATGTATGTATGTATCTATTCACAGTGTTAAGGGGCTCAAAAAAAGTCGCCCTCATTGTAAATCACCGATCCCAAAATGGTATGCATTGCGAGCATGTTGAGACAGCCGGGTTTTGTTATATCGACAGGGATCCCTAGACCATTCACCCCCGTCAGTCACTTCCGGTTGGTCTCATTGCGCTTGCATGGCGTTGAATCCCCGGAGCAAGTCGGCATCTCGTTCAGGAGCATGGCCGGCAACTTTTGACCATGGGTATCAATACAGATTTTAGCAGCAATTTACTGCATGAGATATATTGCAAAAGACTAATGGCATACGGGAGCCAATATACTCATGAGGTCAGAAGTTGATCCTGACTGTGGCATTCCGTTGGAGCATCAGAGTTGATCTCGCGTTTTGCGTGCGGTTATCAGAGCCAGTTAAGGTCCAGGGTCCTTGCTTTCGATTGGCTCCAATTTAACGATTTCTGATTGGTTTATTCTAGCTTACTTGCCGCCTTGGCATAGACTTCGCTCGACCAGCTATGAGAGAGTTTTCAGCCAGGCATTACCGGAGAGGGGCCGTTTACATAGCTGCCGGGGACATATCTCTTAGGTAACATTATATATCCGCACGATATAATGCTGACTGAAAGAGGGACCTGGAAATAATGCAGCTCGGGACGGGAAAACTCATAAGCTTACGACTTTATATGCTGACAAAACGCAAGGACCAGAGCCCCAAGTGGTTATATTATGGATTGTGATGATTGATAGTCTTGATCCGCTGCATAGTAAACATAGAGCCAGAACGCCGTCTCGTTGTAGGCAGAACATGGTTGTAGAATCATGAGTTAGCCATTTATCCAGTCTCCTGGTCATCAGGCTTAGCTAGATCATGCTCCCTTAGAAGAGCATCGATCTCATCAGCACCCCAAAGGTGGTGATAGATCTTGCCGTCCTTGGTCTTTCCAACAGTAGCAAACTCAACTAAAATTCATAATACTAGGTTAGAGATATCCAGTAACTAACCATAGAAAAGATATGGAGTGCTTACTCTTCTTGCTACTCAGCTTTGTAGAGTCCATGGTCTTGCTCAGAACCTTGACAGCCATGCCACAGGCCTCCTTCAAATCACAGTCTTCCTTGTAGTCTTGCTTCAAAAGACTTTGTGCACTAGCATTGTTAGCCCCGACACTGGTAGCTTTCCATCCACCATAGTTGCCGCTAGGGTTGCTCTGGTATAACTGGAATTGCCGGAGTGGGTCGTAGCCAGCGTAGATGAAGGATACACCGAACGGCCGGAGACCACCATGCTGGGTGTAGCCCTGCTTCAAATCGCATAATCGACGGACTAGTTGTTCACACGGGATATCTTCGTTATAGGTGAGGAGATATCGTTGAGCGGCTTGACGGGCGTAGTTGATGAGTATATTGGCATCGGCAGTCATTCCCGCAACGGCACATATCATGTTACTACAACCATATTATTAACAACGGGCGGGATTAGAACGGCTGCTCCATAGAAAATAACTGACTCATTTAAGATGTAGAGCTTCTCTGCAGAGGTGTCCTGCTCCAGAAGCTTGCTGGTGACTTTCCGCTCCGCAGCGAGAACTATCCCATCTTTGGCCAAGATGCCGAGGGCGGTTCCGGCGTGGGAGATGGCCTCTAGAGCATATTCAACCTGGTACAGGCGGCCTTCCGGCGAGAATATAGTCGTCTACAGCCAGTATCACCGTCAGTCTGGCGCCTTCAGCTAGCTGGCGGGCGGATTAGTCGGAAGGGGAGAGAGGCCTACCCTGGAGTCGTATCTCCGCGCCATTTATCCTGTTCCAAGTGCAAAGCCGTGTCTGTAACAGTTTATTCCCAAGCAATCTGCTTCCAGTGTTTGGTAGGAAGGTAGTGTCGGCCTCGTGTATGCGTTCTCCCTCTGCTTCCCCGCTGTCTGTCTGACTGTCGTTGTTGTTGTTCGGACAGCTCAAGAAGCAACTTTCAGTGAGTTAGGTTAGGCCACCAAAAGCATCGCGCGTACCAAGAGAGAGCTCGGGCCAATCAGAGAGCAGCCGCAGAACTTCAACATAAAAAAAACCCCAGAAAGGCAGAAGGCGAGGAGAGGGAGAACAACACCAGCGCAATTAAATACGTCTGCCAGGACGGCGAATACTTTGGGACATAGTGAACAGGATGCTGAAGTCGACTTATACTCCGGCTAACGCCCTACCGCCAGGATGGACCGAGCACAAAGCGCCCTCAGGTAAAGAGATACAGAAGCCATACCCTTGATCAATGGTTCACCCTGACACTTATATGTACCAGGGCATCGATATTACTATAATGCAGAGACAAAACAGTCAACATATAAGCGGCCTGTTGAAGAGACACCGGTGCCTGCTGCGGTACCAGCTGCACTACCGTCCTATCCGCTACAATTCCCACCACCCGCCCATGTTACGCGAGGCTTTGACCCGAACTTCCAAGGGCTGTCTCGAACTAGAGAGCACTATAGAAAACACCGTCATCCTGAAGACCGGCCGAAGAAAAAACACGCTATACCCGGATGTGCTCCGTGGGTTCTGGTAAAGACAAAACTGGGCCGTCGGTTTGTCCACAACCCAGAAACAAACGAGAGCTTTTGGAAATTTCCTGCCGAGGTGATGAAGGGTGTTGTGGAATATGACCGTATTGAGCGAGAAGCTGAAGAAAGGCGTAAAAGAGGAGAAGAAGAGACACCGAAAGCAGAGGCTGGTATTGAACCATCTGAAAAGCGATCGGAACAAACACCAGCGCCCACTGATGTTGTGCCCGAGAAACGAGACTCAGATAGCGAATATGAGGAGGTGGAAGTGACGGATGATGAAGAGGAAGAACCCTCAAAGCGACTAAAAGCCGACGAGGAAGTGAATCAGCAGGTCGAATTCAACGAAGACGACATCGAATATCAGTTGGCCGCCATGGCAGACGACTACGGCGGTGGCCCCGGCGAATATGATGAATATGGCGAAGGTGGCGAAACTGAATGGCAAGAGAATGAAGAGGAACCACCTCTCTCCGAAGAAGATACCATTGCGCTATTCCGTGATTTGCTTGACGACTTCAGGATAAGCCCATATACTCCTTGGGAAACTATCATTGAAGAAGGGAAGATAGTTTTTGACCCGAGGTACACAGTTCTGCCCAATATGAAATCAAGACGGGAGGTCTGGTCGAAATGGAGCCGTGACCGAATACATGAGCACAAGGAACGCAAGAAGAAGGAACAACAGGCAAACCCTCGGATTGGATATTTTGCTCTTCTGCATGAGCATGCTACCCCTAAACTCTATTGGCCTGAGTTTAAGCGAAAGTATCGAAAGGAGCCGGAAATGAAAGACAGCAGAATACCAGAAAAAGAGAAAGAAAAGCACTACCGTGACCATATCGCAAGACTAAAACTTCCAGAAAGTACTCGGAAGTCTGATCTATCTTCTCTACTCAAGTCTATCCCGCTATCATCACTCAATGCGTCAAGCTCGATCCACTCACTACCTCAGCAAATTCTATCCGACATTCGATATATATCACTATCTTCGCAAACCAGAGATGAGCTTATTGGGTCTTACATCCTTACACTACCCGCTGCTCCAGAGCAACCAGATACGCTAGACGATGCAGAAAAGGCCGAACAGCTAAAGAAAGAGCAAGAACGGCGAAAGCGGGAGAAGGCCTTGCATGACCGTGAAATGAGAGTGCAAGAAGAGAAGCGAAAGCAGCAGAGAGCTGTTATGCATAGCAAAGATGCCCTCCGCCAGGAGGATGAAGAGATTCAGAGAGCTATGAAAGTGGGCAGAGAGGGTTTAAAAAGTTATATGGATGACACCTAGCTGCGTGTGTACCGCATGAATTCTGGTGGCACTAATTGTAAATAGGAATCGCGCTATGCTATATTACATCAACGAACATCATCGTTGGAAGACGAATTAAACGTAGGGTATCGTTTTATAAAAGACTGATTCAGGGCAATCTTTAACATTTGTACAAATCCTTTTTTCATCATCTAAATCCCCAATCATCCCAACTTTCCCCCTCATCATCATTGTTTTCGTCTTCGTCCCCATCATCAGCCGTGTGATTATCCGACAGCCCACTTTCTTGTACATCGTTAGGTCTGCTACTCTCTTCTTCTCGTTTGCGGCGAATCTCATCCCGCATCTGCTTTAGCCGTTTGACACGTTGATCCAATTCCTCCATCTCGTCGAATTCTTCCTCTAAGAATCTAGTAGCATCCTCACGGTCCCCCAGTAATGCTGCCTCCCGGCTCTTTGCCATCGCCTCCCGGTCCTCGCGTTCACGCGACTCAAGTTCAGCGGCAGACACGGGGGCAGCAGATATTGTCGCAGAGGTATTTATCATGGTAGGCGGTTGCTCCCTGGAAGGCTGAGCAACTTCCCGCTCGAAAGCTGCCCACTCATCCTCATCGACATCTTGATTTTCAGGTGCAGGTGGAATCTCCTCGGTAATCATCTCAGGTGCGGACTCCATTTTATCCGCACTTAAGCCTCGGGGAGGAGATGGTCCATCCAGTATCTCTGCTATACTATTGACAGTCGGGGCACTCTCATCTTTCACCCCTTCTTCTGTGTCTGCTCTGGGCTTCTTCCGTGCTGGCTCCAAGTCAGGGCCGTGTCTGCGTTTTTTGGCGGCTTTCGAGCTTGGGAGTTGTCTTGACGCGAGTTCGTTTCGAAGGAGTTCCCGAACATCTACCATAGCGACTTTCTGAGAGAGTGATAAAGATTTTTGGTAATCGGCCTGTATAGTCGACCTGGAATGGTGACGCTATCAAGAGCTGTAGGCATCTTGTCGTTAGCTCGCTATTGCGGCTCCAGTTAAACTAAAATGATTATGTAGTTAAGATATTGTCACGTGAATTGATTGACTTATCCAATCAAAGTTTAACTCTATGTTATTTTTTAGCTTCATTGGAGCTTCCATCACAGCAACATTGTAACTGACCAGTCCTCGAGGGAGACTAGAAAGAATGCAAGGAAGAGAGATGAGTCATCATTATTCTATATAGCATCATATCTATACACATAATTTCGTGACGGTAATCAAAGATTCGTAGGAAAATCATCCATCTCAAAAGGCTTTCTTAAACCAGAGATCTACTTGAATCGTCGAAACGCCATTCCAGCAGCTAATCCAACAGCAAGGCCGACTAGACCTGTCATGATAGTCTCACTCTCCAGACCAATGTTAAACCAATCTGCCATTTTTTAGTTAGCTATGAATTGCCAAAATTAGAATATTATATTATATGAACCTACCCCTTTGCGCCTCTAGCTCAGGCGCAGGCGCATCTACGGGACTCTTAGTGAAGTCCCCTAAATTGCAATCCCCAGACTTTTGTTTACCGTAGCTGACTTTTGCTTGGAGTTCGGGGTCTATGTTCAGATAAAGATCGATAATGATATTCACATCTTCGCTTGTATCTTGCACAGGAACTGCTCGTCTATGTTCCCTATATCCCTTCCTTGTACGGTGCTTGGTATCACTTCTAGTTACCTCTGTTTCAGTCTCCTCTTCCGAAGAGCAATATCGGCCAAAATTACCCCAGTGCCTCTTTCTAGTCTCTTGTTTTGGACTGGCGAGTTGTGGACGCCGCCTATTCCTATAAATGTTACTTAGCCAAGAAGGAAAGGCAGAAACCTGGGTGTCTCCATAGCTTTACATACCATTTTTGACCAACACGTGGGTGCCTTAGTTTTTTCACCCGCTCATATGAGCTACCTAAAGAAGTTTCCGTGGAGGCACTCTCGGATGGTGAGAGTGCGGAACTTGGAGAAGTAGGGATGCCCATGCGCCATTCCATAAAATCAAACTCGGACATCATAACGACATCAGTGTCATCAGGGTCCATAGGCTCCACGCGAATATTGGTACCGTACATTTTGTCATACATGAGTAACTCATCATCTGTCGAAACATCAATGGATAGCTTACGGTAACGAGGTGACCCAGGTTCCCCGCTAGTATACTTCGGCATGTCCGCAGAAATGCGACTTGACCGAGATAGGGTATTAGCAGCTAGTACTTCGGTGCGTGAAGCTTCTTGGCTCTTATCTTGATTCTTTATCCCTTGGGGTTCGGTCACTGCCTCTTTTTCATTCATATTCTCAGTGCCTTGGCTCTGCTGGATAGAAAAAATGGACTCATCCTCACCCGGCTCTACTGTGGGTTGCAAATGGGGGGGAATGACTCTGTCTAGATGATCGTGGGTTTTTGTTGGGGATGATTCTCCAGCGTCAGCCCCATGATCGTTGATTGGTATATTTTCAGCCTCGGTTTCTTGAAGCTCTGGTACTCTTGGTCCATCACCAACACACCCATCGAAGAGCGAGTGTAGAGGTGATGGCGAACGAGGAGGTGTAGGTATACCTTTGGCTCGTCTCTCTTCTCTTGTCAACCTCTCAAACTCAAATAGTGGAATGAAATTGCGTGGGCCTGGCTTGGAAAAGACACGATATTTTGACTCCCTGAGCCTAGCCACTTTCTGCTGTATCTCCTGGTCCTCAGGTGAGATATTTTCAGATGTATCCATAGTTTCACGTAAAGGATTAGGAGGAGTTCTGGAATGGTTTTTTACGCGCCTATCACCAGACAGTCGAGGGCCAATTAGCTCTTTAAACACCCAAGGGGCAGACGCAAATTCATCGTCACTAAGCGACGTATCTATATCAGATGCATCCTCGCCTAGCATTTCTTTTTCAGCTCGCCATCTTGCGCGGGGGTACTCTCTGTGCTGCCTATCTTCTGAATCTTCGGCTAGGAGATCCTGATCCAGGCACTGTTGACGCATTCCTGCGTCTTTTGCTTTGCCCATTCTCCTGCTTCTATACCTCTTCTCTTTAATGCTGTCCTGAAATTCTTGGTATCCCTTGGCTGGAGCTGCATATCCTGATTCATCAGCAGGGTATCGCAGATGAAGTATGTCACAGTGAATAGGAAGGTCTCCCACATCATCTTCCGTAATTCCCAGATCATCTTCGCTCGGCACTTGCCTCTCCCCTTTGGTGCAAATAGTAAAGGAGGTGGCTGCTTTATCCTCAAATACCCAAGAAGCTAAATTTCGAACCCGAGTCTTTTTCCTCAGCCGTCGAGACTCTAGGCTTTCCGCAGGGAGGCCCTGAGCTAAGCATCTGGTTCTTTTTGCTTCACGGCACTTCTTGATTTCATGATTTCGCTTGTTCATCAGGTGCTTTAAACCAACATTCCATTCTTGGTATCCATTGGCTGGGGCAGCATATCCCGATCCATCGGCGGGGTACTTTAGATCAAATAATTCCAGGTGACAAGGAAGCTCCTCGGCATCATCTTCATTTATCGAGTCGTCTTGGTCTGGTCTGATACAGTTGGTAGAGTTAGAGTCGGATGGATCGGGATCACCAAGTTTGGATGACGTATCACCAGAGTGATTGACAAAATTTTGAATCTGATCATCCATCGAAGTGGTAGCCGGGCTGTCCTTATGGTTTTGGTGGTCGATGTTACTCGTATCACATACTAGGTCCGCCTGCATTTTGAAGGCGTACAGTATCCAGTATGTTGGGGATAAAAGGTAATTTGGATGCAATGATAGGTGAACACGGAAAGTGTCTCTGCCGGTATGTAAGGAGAAAGAAGATGAAGAAGCTAGAGACCAGAGAAAATATTTATCCACGATGTGGTTGCTTGTTGGGGGGACAAACAGGCAGGGAGCAGTGTCTATGCCTCTAAGCGCCGGGGCTGGTGTTGTTACAAGTTAACCATCCCTGCATAACTAATAGGCAAAAATATACTCACAGCAGTCCTATTAATAGGACAAGTTTGTCGACCCCAGTCGGGCGGTTAAGCATCAGATTATCCAGAGTGTTCTTGTTACCAGCCGAGAATATGTGAAACAAGCCCTGGGTTGTGTTGTGCTACAACGCTAACTGGGAGAGGAGTGCATATAGTTACTCCCATGTTGCGCCTGGCGTTGTAATATACAAGATCTTAACTCGCATGAAGACGTCCCTGATATACCCCATTTTGTTTGATCTAGGCAACATGGTCACGCATGCTCGATTGAGGTCTCAGGCTTTTAATAGTTATTACCGCATTATTGTGCCTTCATAGCTTGGAATTGCTGGCCATCCAACCAACGATCACAGGCAGAGGATGGCTGCAGCGCTGGCATCTACCCTAATAGCTCCTCCTATTTCTCCACCAAAATATTTAATGCAAGCCGTCCCGGTGACACTGCTGCCTACCCAGGAAGCTGGAGGTAAATCTCAGAACCCCGGCGAAAGATCTGGAAAGCAAGAGAGCTGCCATTCTAGCCAATTACTTCCGGTATGGCACAGAAATTCCATGCAGAAGAATACTTCTAGAAGCCCGGGCCGAAGAACAACGCGTTGCTGCTGCTGCTGCCTGCTTGGGTTGCAAACAACTGGCTCTTGACTCCTAAGAAAACAGCATCGGAAGCAGCAGCAGACGCCAAGGGAGGCTGCTGCTGAGGGAGGCTGAGTATACCGTGGGTATTGAATCCAGAGCCTCGGATAGCTCTGTCGCCAGCTTCCGTGGTATGGTCGATTGGCTCGCAATGGCGGAAACGCATGTAGCACTTAGCCATCAAGGGCACTCGTTCTAAGCTCAGAATGTCTCATTACACTGGAAACTTAAAATATGCCATAAAATACTCGACAGAATTCAGCTTGAAGTTTCTAAACTTCCTCCAGTGAAGCATAAACCTAGGGCCCTGGTCTGCGATGACTTATTATGTCTAGAGCCAAAAAAAAAAAAAAAAAAAAAAAAAAAATTGAGCATGTGAGCTAATGAGATGTGTTCAAAAAGCATGCTGAGCTATTATCCAGAATATAAAGATATTAGTATTAAGCTAGTTAATAAAAGTAAGGGAGTTCTCCTTTTCCTCCGTTGTTCTTGTTGTTGTTGATATAAAATTGTCTTTTTGATGTTGAATTTAGAGTAGGCTATCACGTGAGAGACTAACCACTTCTAGTAACTATTTGTCAGCCAACTTTTTTTTCTTTCTTTTTATAATAATAACAACTTCAGCAACGTCGCAGCAATAACAAGTTTCTCTCTTTTCTTTCTCCTTACGCACTTTTTGTTTTGTGAATATTAGGGGTGCCTATAATAACTTATCACAGCACTACTCTCTACCTGATAAAAGATACCACACTGCACCGTGTCCTGAGCGCGCTTTTTGCTTCATCCCATTCGCGCAGACAGCCCCAATACAAGCAGCGATAAGCAAGAGTGCGTTTTCCTGTTTCCAGGGCAGCGATACCGTCACTACATAATCTTGAGTTGATAAAGGGAAGAGATATAATTACGATTCCTTCTCTTACGGTACGGCTATTGAGTCTGGGAGTGGAGGCTTTCCCCGCACAAGAAAAGTATCACTCTGGTATACACGATATTACGTTCAAGGAGGGAGTTCAGATATCAGTTATCCGTCACGTCTGCTGTCATCAGAGACAAGCCCTGTGTATTACTCTTAAGCACCTTCGATGCCTGTAGTCAAAACGGTTTCGTTGGGTTGCAAGCAGAATCAACAGCCCTCGACGCTCCTGAGCTTCAAAGGATTGTAGACTATCGGTTATCAACAGCGTTTCTGTCTCCTTAACTTATAAGATCATGGCTGGTAAGCACTTGTATCCCACACTGTACATTCTTGGTTTGCCAGAGAGCATCCAGACCAGCGATGCCTTCGTGAAATTCCCGCCATCTGCGTCGTGGAGGGAACAGGCCTCATTGTTATGAACAGAAGCTAACATATGGTGACAGACGAACCACGCCGCTCTGGCCGAGCAACCAAAGGCCAGCACAAGAACCTCGATATCGACCCCCCGCAAAACAAACGGAAAAGTAAGGGCCAAGGAAAGGGTCAAAAACAAAGCTCGAACGAACCCACGCCGCCCGTGTTAAACGAAGAAGACGAAATAATCCGATGTATATGTGGCGAATACGAGGAGGAAGAAGACGTCGAACGTGATATGATATGCTGTGACAAATGTGCTGCCTGGCAACACAATGACTGCATGGGTCTTGTCTTCCCAAAGGGAGAAGAGCCAGCTGAATATTTTTGCGAGCGGTGCAAACCAGAGAATCATAGGGAGTTGTTGGACAAGATAAGTAGGGGTGAGAAACCATGGGAAGAAGCGGCAGCAAAAAGAGCACAAGAGGCGGAAGAGAGGAAATCTCGCAAAAAGAAGGGCGGAAAACGAGGAAAGAAAGGTAGGCAGAGTGACGTCAAGCCGGAACATGGCGATACTCCAACTATGGCCAAGAGTGACAAGCAGTCACCCCCGATGCAGCACAATATTGAAGTAGCTGTGCCTGCTCATCATGAGGACGTTGGTGCCCATAAACGCAAACATGAGGAACGAGAGGAGGGTATCACGCAGGAATCCGTAAGTTCAACTATATCTGTCCCCCTTTTTCCCTGATACAAGCTTACCATAACAAAACCCTAAGCAGGGTTCGAGACAGAAACTGCAAAAACTGTCTACAAACCTCCCAGTATCATCCTCGCCTGTTCAGAGTGGAATGCAAAGTGCAAGGCAAAGTGCCACGAGTCCAATGACTCCTATCCAGGGCCCCAATTTGAAATCTCGGTCTGGGTCTACAGCTGGGACCGATCACCTGATTGTAGCCAGAAGAAGCGCCGCAACTGCTTTGTCCAAGCTGGTCACCGAGATTGCTGGTACTGCAGTGGCTGCTGGGACCTTCACTATCCCATCAGACAGCACAAAAGAGGCTGTCGGTGAAAGGCTCGGAACAGAGATAGAAGATTGTATGTACAGGAATCTTTGTGGGTCAACTGGGGAGCCTAATGATGCCTATAAAAACCAACTGCGGACCATCTTGTTCAATGTAAGGAAAAATCCTTCGTTACGTGATAGTCTGCTTGTAGGCCGTACAACACCAGATGCTATATCGACAATGAGCACACAGAACATGGCCAGCCAAGAGCTGCGTGAAAAAGATGAAGAGATCAAGCGGGAGGCTGAGAGACAGCATACTATCATCCAGGAACAGGGACCTCGTATCAGACGGACCCATAAAGGAGAAGAGCTGGTAGAGTCCGATCCACAGACCATTGGCACCGAATCCGTCTTCTCTACCGCACCAGCTCGTCGGGACACTGCTACCGAAAGCGAGCTACCATCCGCCAAGAGCCCGCGGCATACCAGCCCAACTGCTGCCCATGGCCAACAATATGCAGATAGGACTGCGCGTGAAACTTTTGATACCAATCGCCGAAACTCTTCCAATTTCAATATTGAGAACGTTTGGTCAAGCGTTCACTCTCCTGGCGCCTCTCACTCGGAACAGCAATTCGGTCCGGCATCCTCATTCAATGAGCCTCCACACCCCATGAACAAAGTCCAGGAGGACGCAGAGATTGACAACTTGTTAAGGGACGAAGCTGATTCCCCGCCCTATTCTCCCAAGGACATTCAGGACGATGGAGACATTTGGCACGGTTCTGTGTCTATGAGCTCTGTAGCTGAATTTCGGACCGCCGGGAGACATGTCGGTGGTGCGGACCTCAGTGCAAAGATTCCCTGGTCACAACTTGTACCTCCAAGAATCACAGTGGATGGTCGGATTGATATCCAATTGGCAAGTAATTACCTTTGCGGATTAAGATATAGCCATACTACAGATATTTCAGTGGTGGCCCTTGAGCAGCCCCATGCAGCAGATGATGCCGTACAATTCAACAGACTGTTCAATTATTTCATGGACCGCAAAAGGTACGGAGTGGTCGGGAAACACCCTCTTCCTGCTGTTAAGGATGCCTACCTAGTGCCCGTGGAGGCCGGTCACAGCAAGAAACCCGACTTTATTGAACTACTCGAGAACAACCAAGTCCAAGATCCCACACCGACCCGGCTTCTCCTCTTTGTTCTTGTTGTCAAAACCAACTTCAACCAGTCTACACCCTCCCATACAACCCCCCAAGCCCCTTCCAGGAGTGCTGCCAGTCCTTTGCAAGGGGATAATGAGTACAACCCAGTCGATCCCGCAGCGCTAGGCCTCGCTCAGGGTCCCGCCCAAGGTCCTGATCCCCAACGAGGACAGTTCAACAACGGTTCCACTAACGCCCCGCTGCCTAATCAAGCCATCACTGGCCAGCAGGCAGCCATTCACGTGCTTGGATCACTAGCTGCGGCTCCCGCTATCCAGGAGTTGTTGCAAAGAGTGCCTAATGCGAGTGTCGAGCAGCTCAATGTAATAGCAGGCATCTTGAGACAGAATCCGTTGGCCGCCAATAACCTGCAACTGCTAATGGGTGCGCTTTTACAGACAACAAATGGAACACAGTCAAGTTAAAGACATTTTGCCTTGCTCACTGATACCCAGTTATGCTCTCTACGCAAGTTCTACCCGCAATTGGCGAGTCGGTGCTTTTTCTACCCACAAAAGCAACTGCTTGTCTTAATGTTTTAAGCACGGACAACCAATTTATTACCGAGTAGTACTTGTGCTGATACTTCTCGATCATTTTTCTGTTTTGAGTGAACCGTTCTCCCCGAGATATGCTTATTCCAATACCTGTATGCGTGTACATATGTTTCTGTAATTTCTCTTTTACCCATCTGCCCTTCTCCACAAAAACGACAAAGGCATGCCTCTAACATCTTTGGAAGATCCAGGGCACTGAAAATTTATCCAATGGAAGTGTGGCGTATGGGTGGTATTTTGTACTTTTCTTTGTTTCTATCCTATGCCATGGGCCTGTTTGAGTGGTGTTTGATTTATTGGAGAACTGTGGCATACTTTGTATGATTCTATTACCTCTGCAATTGCAACTGTCCGGTGACGCTAACAGCAAGGTTTTTTGAGAAAAATTGTATTAATGTCTTCAATTTAACATTGTCACACTATATTTCGTAGACAACGCCTCTATTTAAGGGCGAGTGCTCAACAAGACCTTAGACAGAGGACAGGGAACTAAAAGATAGGACAAATCACAGTTCGATGTAAGTTAATCGGTACTAGTATCAGCTATCTTTTAGAACCAAAAACCTAGCAACGCCGGCGCTATGCAGATGACATTAACGGGAGTGGTAAGTTGATTACCATCTATTGTAACCACCACCGCCTCCTTTTCTTCTATGGCCACCTCCACTACCTCTGTAGGAACGACCGCCATATCCACCGCCGCCATCTCGGCCCCAGCCAGCATCATCAAAGCCAGCATCACCGCGACTGGATGGACCATCATCGTGTCTGGACGGGGGCTGCCCCTTCATCTCTTTCTGCAAAATACTGTAGGTCTCCCTCATTTTCGCATACCCCAAATGCATTTTCCCGAAGAAATGGTCAGCAAGTCGACGGTCGTTATCTAGTCGGCTGAGATACGCTCCGCACACATCACAAACCTGCAACTTCTGGTGCCCTGAAGGACCAGACGTATCCGCGAGGGCCTTAAGGTCTCGTTCGAGAGACTCCTTCTGATGCTTAGCAGTTCGTACTTTGTAGAATTCGTCAATAGCAGTGGCAACTGCTCCAAGTTCACCGAGAACGGACGTTTCCTCGAGTCCAGCGTTGATGGTTTTATTCAGATCCGATATTTGCGACAACTATTTATTTGGTTCATTTAACATTAGTAGACTGAGTTTTGAGTACACCAACGGAGTGACAATAGTTACCAAATGGTTTGTTTGCCGTATTTCGTCAGGCGTCTTCTCAAGGCGACGTTGTGCCGAATCTATCCTCCTGTTACATTCATCGATGTATTTCTGCATATCTCGCAAGTAGTCGTACTCGAACCCCCATTTAGCCTTTTCGTGTGATGATGCAGCATCATATTCAGCTTTCAAGCCTTCGCTGTGCAGTTTTGGACAGGGTCCTAGGTCTTGCTTCGTGTTGGTAAAGAGGTCGTGGGGGCATGTACCAGCGAGATAGGAGCGGCAGACTTTCGGGTCGGTGATCGCAACTTGCGCATTTCGACCAGAACTAGGTCCCCCAATCAGCTGGTCAGCTTGAGAGACGCGATGAGTCAGTTTATGCAGCACTTTTTGGTTTGACGTTGTTAAACGCAGGAAACACTTACCTCCCATGAGCTGCTCCAAGAGCTTCCGCTGCTCTGCAGCCATTGTGTGTTGGAGAGGCGCAACCCAGAGACAGTGCCAAATTGTAGATAAGAGTCAATGCAGCTTGCTAAAATAAACTGTCCCTGTACAAATAACCCCCGTGAGTCTTCGATCTTATATCGTTCTCCTTATCTCCCATCAAACGTTGTTCAACTTTTGCGCAAAAGCGAGAAAAGAGACTCTCATTTGCCGCTGTTATTATATAATCAATAACTTAACATACTAGGCGCGCGCTTATTTATACCGGCATCAAAAGCAAAGAAAACACCCGCAAAAAGGAGATCATGACGAAGACGAAGCAGACGCAAGACGATACGAAGAAGAAGGGATCAAGCTGGAGGTCAGGGATGGTGCTAACTGGCTGGGAGTGACAGCTCTTTTTCTTTTCGCTCCCTCGATATGAAGTCCTCCCTGTATTCGCTGCTCTGGACACTGGTAGTCTCAGCTCTGCTCGCCGCCGCCAATACCATAGACTACCATGAGCAGTTGGTGCTTCACCCACTGCCGCCATCAAACCTGCTTGCTTCCTTCAACTTCCGCAGTAATGAATCCAGTGCTGCGTTCAAACAGCAGAATTACCGCTATTTCCCCCGCTCTCTAGGTCAGATCCTACAACATACACATACGAAGGAATTGCATCTGCGATTTACCACCGGACGATGGGATGCGGAGAACTGGGGAGAACGGCCCTGGCACGGCTTCAAGGAGGGAGGCACTGGAGTAGAGCTCTGGGCGTGGATTGAGGCGCAGGACGCTGATGCGTATGAGAATGTTGAAACACTCGATATTTGAAATAGAGGGCTAATACAGAATACATATTCTAGAGCATTCAAAAAGTGGATTTCGCTCACGCAGTCATTATCTGGACTATTCTGTGCATCTATGAATTTCATCGACTCGACACGGACCACGACCCCTTCTCTTACTTTTACCCCCACTGGAACTATACCGCGTGACGGACTACATCTTCTCCATGGCACGCTGCCGGGTGAGGTTGTGTGCACCGAGAACCTGACGCCCTTTTTGAAGCTTCTGCCATGTAAAGGTAAAAGCGGCATATCCGGACTCTTCGACGGCCACAAGCTCTTTGATGCGTCATGGCAGACTATGTCTGTCGATGTTAGGCCGGCTTGTGCGGATGACAATCCTGAAGTATGCAATGTCGAGATTGAGCAAACTGTCGATATGGTACTGGATCTGGATAGATCAAAGCGAGCAAGAGACAACCCTATTCCTCGTCCTGTTCCTGCTGCGGAGTTGATTTGTGATGAATCCAAACCCTATCATTCCGGAGACTTTTGTTACCCTATCGGGGCATCCCGGTCGCAGACATGGAGCATTGAAGATGTCTTCGGGCGAACGATACCCTCCAGCTGCCCCCTCGGTCGGGATGATGCGCAAACTGTCTGTATCAAGGTCCCCGATAGCATGGAGGTATTGCCGAGTTCTGACGCAGTAGAAACGCGTGCGCCTGACGGCAAATCGCGCTGTTATTCTCTGCATCCCAACCAGCCCTTTAATCTGGTCGTCCCCGCGCAGCACTCCAGTAGCAATTCCTTGGAAGCCCAAGTTGTGCATTTGGAAAGGACCATAATCGGTCACGGCCAAGAACGAGGCGGCCTCAGATCTATATTGACCAACCCTTCGCAAACCGATACAGCTAACTTCGTTTACTTTGAAACTCTTCCCTGGTTCATGCGCCCGTTTTTGCACACGATGAAAACAAAGATTAGTTATGGCTCAGAACCAGCGGTCGAAGTACCGCTCTCTGATATTATCAAGGACATCTTTTACCGGCCTGCTATTGACCGTCGTCGTGGCACGCAGTTGGAGCTCGTCTTGTCTGTCCCTCCAGCCTCGACAGTCACCCTGGTATATGAGTTCGAGAAGGCCATCCTTCGGTATACGGAATACCCACCAGATGCCAACCGAGGCTTCAATGTTGCTCCCGCCATCGTTCGCGTTCTAAATAGAAACGAGTCGATAATGGTGCCTCCCGTCTATCTACGCACCACCAATCTTCTTCTACCGCTTCCGACGCCTGACTTCAGCATGCCGTACAATGTCATCATCCTGACAAGTACAGTTATCGCCCTCGCCTTTGGGAATATATTCAATGTGATCATCCGCCGGTTTGTTACCCTCGAGGAGGTACCTCGCCGAAACATCAAAGCGCTTCTACTGGGAAGAGTGGCAGCTCTTAAAAGCAAGCTGGGAATAAAAAAAACAGAGAAAGTAGCGTAATGCAGTATTTTTCTAGTTCCTACTGGCTGGTCTTGATATCCATGTAAATATCGTCATAGCTGGGTTCAAAGGAGAATATATAACTACCTAGTCGGCCATTGAATACGTAGAGTATGAAGTAGCTCAGTTGGCCCTGGAGAAAATATCAACCTCCATCCTTGCAATCAACTCAGACCAGGCCGGCCGGCTGTTCGTACAATTTGTTAGTTACGAAGTCCGTCGCCAGTTGATAGGCCAATCTAGTTAAATATCCCGGGGTCTCGACTTCGAACTTGGCTTGAACTTCCCCAGAGCTCGCCAAAGAGTCCAGATATCCCAGAACTCCGCGACACAAGGCTTAAAACACCGCCATCGCACGTCAGTCTCCTCGATATACTCCTACCGACTGCCTGCCAGCGACATTATCCTCGCCGTTCACTTACAAAACTACTACCAAACAAGCAGAACCAAGCAAGATGGCTACGCGCCGCGGGGCCGCAAAGGAGGCGCAGTCCGAGATATCAACACCAAAGCCGGCATCCTCGCAGCCAGCCGGTACTGAGTTAAGATCTCTCCCCGGGTATGACTCTACTTCTAGCTCTTTCTGCGATCTGTTTGTGCTCGGGAAGGTAGCTAACTGGTCAAATGGTTGCGATGCAGTGGCGTGTTATGGAAGTTCATTCTCTACTCGGTGATGATCGTGTGCTGTCCTCTCGCGACATACTACGGGACTGTAGACAGGGTATTCGGCGGTACGTCAATCACAATCTGCTTGTCTCATGGCATTGCTAACTGATATGGGTGTAGGCAACACTACATATGCGGGCGCAGCGGCGGCGGGAGCAGCAAACGTGGTGTTGATCGTGTATATCATATTTGCCATTCGAGAGGACAACGAGATCGAGAGGAAGGCCGCAGATGAGTTCAAGAAGGATAGATGAGTGAATACTGTGTTTGGTTTGGTTATACACTATAAGCCATGGTTTATATAGCAATGCAGATGGTTGATATTTGATAATAACTATAGATCTTGGAGACTGCAGAGCTGGTATTCATTCTTGAAGTAAGATATTTACAGAGCAGAGCGCACTCCAGGCCTGATCAGTCGTATCAAAGGCGTAAAATGGGAAAGAGAAAGAAGTCAAGGTATCAAATCAAACGAAGTCCAATTGCGTCGTCGTCTTTCCGTTCCACCCGTTGCATTCCATCCACCCATATCCATATCCATACCGTGCCATAAAACTACCCACAGAAAAACTGACTTCCGTAGATCACAAGATATAAACAGAGAAATCAAACGACGGTTCATGTTGGAGTTGAAGCTGAAGGATTAATAGAGATATATCGTTGCCCAGAGCAGTAAAACAAAGGAAACAATCAAATGGTAGAGTTGGGGTCGTGATATCATCAAACATGAGTCCAGCGAGTAAGTAAATAGACAAACGGGAACAATTCAATGGCAGATCCTTGGTGGTAGCCCTGGACCGTCCCATCGATCAAAGAGTAACAGCAAATAAATCTTTCTTTTTCTCTAACCTTGATAGTTAAGAGGAAAGGAAAGAAAGAGAAATGCGTAGGCCTTTTTGTTTAATCGTACATGGCTGGATCAAGTCCTGCTAATCCGGCGCTTGAACCAGCTCTTGCGTTTACCTTCCTGCAGTGTTGCTCCTGTCACAGCCGGTGGAGGAACAGCAACGGGAACTTCCTTCCGAGGAACGATAGGTGGAGTCTGGTACTGTTGTTTCAGTTGCTGCTGCGGAGGCGAACTGTAGATATTCTCTTGGCCGGAATTCATGAGCTGCTGGGACTGCTCTAGATGTGGATCGGTGCCAAAGCCAGTGAACCCATAGGACTCGGTAGGCTGGTCATCATACTTCTGGCCCTGAGGATGGTGTTGCTGTTGCTGCTGCTGCGCCAATCTATCCATGGAACTGTTGACAGAGCTTGGATCCGTTGAGTTTACCCAGTGATCCACAGATCTACCGCCGGAGCCCGAGGGAGAGTTGGAGTTCGGGTTGTCCTGCTGGCCCTGGTACTGGGGCTGAGGGTAGTAAGAGTTGGCAGTGCTAGGGATGTGTGTTGGGTAAGAGCTGTAGGCATAGTTAGGGTCTGAGTTGGTGCGAGATGGAGGAGCCTGGCGGGGAGGTCCGACTCGAGCAGGTCGTTGGTTGCTGTAGTTGTACTGGCTCATGTCCACTGCCGAGCCGTAGCCGTTGCCGTTACCGTATGCGTCGACGTAGCTTTCTGGTCTGGACTGGTAGCCGCGGGAGACCGAGTAGCTGTCGTAGCCACCTCGTTGGTAGTATTGGCCATTCGACCGATCTGAAACATGTTAGTATGGGTGTTGTAGATCTAGATATTGGCAGCCAAACAACAAGACGGGTAGATGCATGAACGATGACATACCACCTCCAAAGAAGCTTGTCGGCCTGCTGTGGCCATTCGTACTCTCATCTGGGGGGAGCTGTGTTAGCTGTAGCTGTATTTAACTAGTCGGAGTCGTAGTGGCTGCGGTGGACCAACCTGGCCGGGCATAGGACATGCGCCGACTGCCGTAAGTGCCGTCGATAGCAGCCTCGAACGATCTGATAGTGTCCAGCGGGCGCTCAAAGCGATACCTCGTGGGGTTCGACAGGTCCGGCTCCGCTACGCCTTGTTAGCCAGCGAAGTTTCAATTGATAGATATGGTATATACAGGAGTAGCAGCAGCGGGCACTCACTGATGGGGTTGCCGAAGCGGTCCTTGTGCTGAATGCCTCGCAGCTGTCCGAGACTCGACTCCTGCAGCGCAATTGCAGCTATAACAGTCAGCATTGACTGCCAGGACACAAATACAAGTTAGTATAAAGGGACTACTAACCAGGCTGCGCTTCGCTCATGGCGAGCGTGGGGTCGGCGTGGGTGCGCATCTTGTTGCTGCCCGGCCGGTCTGCGCTCTTGTCCGACAGGTCGGTATTGTTCCTCGCATGGCCATACGGGCGCTGGCCGGGGCTTCTCGGCTGCTGCTGCTGCTGCTGCTGCTGCTGCGACGAGCTCGAGGTCTTCTGCGGGCTCAGCGGCGGCTGGTTGGAGGCAGACTTCCTCGACTTGTTGCTGGCGAAGCTGAGGACTCGCCCGAGCTTGCTGGGTTTCTGGTCTGGCATGGCGATAACTAGTTATACAGAGCAGATCGGGGGGCAGCACTATCGAGCGTACGACGGAATAACGAGGCGAGCACTGTTCTAGACGACGATGAAGCGACAGAGGGAGGATAGCAGTGAGCAGAGGCAGGCAGATGAAGAAGAGAAAGAAGCAGAAGCAGAAGCAGAAGCCCTTGACAAGGTGGCGCGTCGCACCAAGGACGCTGTGTAAGCAGGCAGACTTGACAGCCAGACGGCCAGACAGCCAGACGGCAGCGGAGAAGAAGCAAAAAAAGGATACGAAGATGTCTCGGAGTGGCTGGGCAGCTTGCTTGCCTGCCTGCTAGTCTGTTAGTTAAGTGACTTTAGCTATGCGCTGGCGGGCCAGGATGCGCTGCCTGGATGTCTCTCTCGCTGGGGGCAAAACTCCACCAGCCACGCAGCGCTGACATCATCGCCGGCACTTTTGTCTACTCGACGGTTACATTTGATACAGTTGATACAGACAGCCTGGGGAGTGACACTTGGAGCTGGGCGAAGTGGTATTTATTTGTTTATTTTGATTTATCGTAACGTCGGCAGAGACAGCGAGCTCTTCGATCTACCGACACAGACAGACAGACGCGGACCAGGAGCACCACCGCAGCCGCAGCGAGGCCAGACAGATCGTCCTCCCGCCATTATTTGTAGTCGTATACTTTAAGAATGTAAAAAAGAGAGAAAGACAGCGTCCGTCAGTCGGCTCTCATGCACGCGCAAGGCTCAGCTCTTCGGCTTCGAGTCAGGTCGGGTCGTCCGTCGGCCGGTCGAGTGGCTCGTCTCTGCAACCCGTCCCCTCGCACTCCTCTCAACAACACCGCTAGATGGAAGATGGGTAAAGCATGACTCTGACGGATGCACCGAACGACTTGGGGGGTAGGTTGTGTCGGAACTGGGCGCGGACAACACCAGAGTTTCCTATCAACCGTCAGTATTAAAACACACAAACACACAGAATTGTTTTAGTCGTGTTTGAGCATACCGTGTGGCCGGGTGACTTTGCCCCAGATGACTCTGATCTTTGACCCTCTGACCTCGCGCTTGGCTCTGTAGACGAAAGCGACCTTCTTGCCGGAGTAGAAACTGGTATATACGTTAGAACGTGTATCCTGGGCATGTCTCACACCAGGTTCATAGACGGCAGACATACGTAGCGGCCTTGGAGTCCTCGACGCCCTCGAGCTTGATAAGACTGTACACTGTTAGTTATCTTCATGTCCGGTCCTGTCTGCAGCTGGTATAAGGGACATACCTTGTGTTGGGGTTGGTGACGCGCTTTCCACGCTGGTAGCTCAGGTGTCGACCCCTATACAGCACACACAATCAGCACTTCCATCCATTGTAGATCTGAGTATCTTCTGCAGCCCCATTTATCTCTATCTTCGCATCCATATCCATGCATTCATCCATCGATATTCGTATAACCCCCATCACATAATATTCAACCATATTCCCCGGTCCAATGTCACCCCCTCAATCGCATGATATTCCACCTCTTCGAATCCAGCTCTTCCACTTCTCCTCTCAATTCACATCACCGGGACAGGGTAGGCGCTTACTTGACATATACTACGCAAGTCAGTCAGCATCATCTTCACCTTCATCTTGATCATCTCTCCAGCTTCAACATCAACAATATCGAATCAACACAGTCGCATCCGGCAGTACTCACATCTGTGACCGTGATTGAATCCACCACAGTGCGATGATACGACCGAAGAAGCGTATGAGTTCCAAGTCGAAGTCTAAGTCGTCCCTGAGGTGTCGTCGTCGCTGTCTTCTTCGTCTTCGTCTTCGTCGCTTCGACTTTTTTCCTTTTCTTGAAGTTTTTGTGAAAGTTCGTGTCTTGAGTCGCGCTAATCCTAAAGCGGATGTTAGCGAGCCCTAGTCATGTGATTCAGCTTTGAGTTTGGAGTCTTGGCTATTTTTAGACAATCAAAGTAGATTTTGATATATTGATGTTGATATTGATTTTAGAGATATTGAATGAAGAGAGAAGAGAGGATGGAAGTTCTGATGATTGACCGCCGACCTAGACTACCACTAACCACGTACCATGCCATGCGCCGGTAGACAGAGATATAGAGAGATAGACACAGGGAAAGACAGGAAAGAAGGAAATTAATACTGTAGAGAGACAGGCTGGCGGACAGACAGACGGATAGAGAGACATATATAAATACGAACAAGAATGGAAGACTAGATATGAATGGAAACAGAAAGAAAAGGGAAGAAGAGGAAAGGAAAGAGGCTACTCGACTTTGAGCCTCTTGTCAACAGCCGTCTCGCTGCTGGATTCGGGCTCCTTTCTCTTCCGGTCAGACTCGTCGTCTCGCGCATTACCATGGGCACCAGCGTTACCATGCATATTGGCATTGGAGCCGCCGCTGCTGCTGCCGGTGAACGGCTGAGAGGGATTCTGCAGGACAGGTGTTGAAAAAGTCAGCGGGCTAGGAAGCATGTTGCTATCGGGGCCGGAGCGGCCAAAGCCCCATTCAGGATAGAAGCTGGACGGAGACGGCAGTAGGGTATCGGACACAAAGCGACTGGGTAAGGCAGATATGGGGGTATCGATGTTGTTGTTGCTGTTGTTGTTGGTACTGCCCCCGTTGTTGGATGGCTGGCTGTTTGATGCTGGTGGAGGAGGGCGGGCGAAAGGGTTAGGCGGACCATGGGCGCCGGCACTGAGTAAGGCAGATGCCGAAGGGGATGGCGGCGGTAGAACAACGGTTGAGTGGCTTGCTTCTGCGGGTTTGCTTGTTGTAGGCGGTCCGCTAGGTCCGGTGGAGGTTGATGCGGCAGCGGCAGCACCACCACCACCACCACCACCAACACCGGGAGCAGGGTTGGTTCCTGTCGCAGGCGAGGATCCGGCGGTGATACTACCTGCGTCCGACGTCTCACTAGGGATCTGAACCTTGAGAATGGGTCGTTTGATGTTTGACTGGATGCTGTTTGTCCTCGAGGGCGGCGGTATGGAAGAGACTGACGTTCTATGGGGTATCTGCTGCGGTGGTTGTGCTTGAACTTGTGGTGGTGGTGGTGGTTGTTGTTGCTGTTGCTGCTTGGGAGGCTGTCTAGGTTCCTTCTTGGGCGACTCTACCGACGGGCCGAAGCCAAAGTGCTGTACCAGGACCGAACCACGATCGTCTATGGGGGTGAAGATGGATCGTGACTTGGTGGGCATGGGCTTTGGCTGCGGCGGCGGGCTGCGGTCCACTTTGATCTGTTGTTGAGATTGTTGAGGTTGTTGCGGGTGTTGCGGGTGTTGTGGTGGGTGATGCTGTTCCTGGAAGGCCGGGGCCGGGGGCATGGATTGCCGCCTGTTGTCCGGGATGTACTGCTGGGCCATTGCCGGATGCTGGTGGTGGTGCTGCTGGTGGTGATGCTGAGGCGGCGGCAGCGGCTGGTGCGAGTAGTACTGCGGGTGCTGCCTTGGTATCTGCTGCTGCTGCTGCTGCTGTTGCTGCTGCGGCTGCTGGTAGTTCTGCATGTAGAATCCGTTTTGCGCACCGGGCGTCGGCGCTGGAGGGGGAGTGCCGTGCTGATGTTGCTGCTGAGGGTGGTGTTGCGGGTGCATGGCCATCCGCTGGACATGGTTGCGCGACGAGGGCCGCGAGGGCGCCTGTCCGGGAGGCGCATGGGGCCCGTCTATCGGAGGAGAGACGGACGGAGGCTGCTTGATGTGTTGTGGATGCGGGTGCGGCTGTTGATGCTGATGTTGCTGCTGCTGCGGTGGCGGCGGCGGGTGGTAGACGGGGGCCATCTGCTGCTGGTCGTCTGGCGCGGGCGACTCCTCGTCTTCATCGTCGTCGAGCGCGCCTTTACCGAGAAAGTCGGCCGGCCCCTTGTGCTCGTGCGGCTGTCCATACTAGACGTTCGTTAGCACCACATGTAGCAGCATGTAGAAAAGATAACAATAATAAAAAAGGAGGGACGCACGTATTGGTATCTGCCGAGGGTTTCCTGGATGTCGGCGGAGGAGAACTCGTACAGCTTCTTGTTGTGGCCGAAGATGATCACAGTGACATCGACCGAGCAGAGCACGGAGAGCTCATGGGCCTTCTTGAAGAGGCCACCCTTGCGTTTGAGGAAGGTGACGGAGCGGTTGCGATCGTCCTTGATGGCCTTGATCTCGATCTTGCGGCGGCCCATGGCCAACAGTTCATGCCCTGCGGTCCGCGTCTGCCTGCTGTCGCCGTCAGTCTCTGTCGCTCAGTCGCGGTGCCTGGCCCGTCCCGCGCCCGCGTGCGTTGTCTCGGCTGTCGAGCCCGCCCGTTCGCCGTCGAGGGAGCCTTCGCTGGGGGGAGCCTTCGCTGGCTATAGATCGAGGGTCGAGATGTTGGCGTCGCTGCTTGGTTGTTTGTGTTATTCTAAACATAGAAAAGTGAGAAATTTCTATAAAAAGACGAAGAAGAAAAAAGTTACTAAAGATAGAAAAAGGCCGTGGCAGCAAGACGCTGACTCAGCGGGACGTCGACTTAAGGCTGCTGACTCAGCGACAGACCGCAAGGAGCGTGGCAGTAAGAATTAAGGTCAGGGGGTGCGGCTCGTACTTCCACGCCGGCTCCCTTTAATTCGACGTCGACGCTCGAAAAGGCGTGCAAAAGCGAGCATAAACAGAGCAAATCAAACGGCGATTCTAGTATAAGAAGGATATTATCAAGTCAAAGGCCGAGAAAAGAAGGTGGGTGAGGCGGCTGGCGTGGGCGAGCAGCCCAGCGAAACGGCCTGGATGTGACTGGGTCCGCTCCTTGCTTTTTCCTCGACGGTTCCTCCTACTGTCTTCTCCTTCGTACCCTGAGCTTGCA